GTTTATTTAAGTCAGCAGGAAAATACACGTCAGTGTGCTGAATAAACTCAAAATCTACAGTAGCTCTGTGCTCTAAAACAGTCAAAAGGAGAGCTTTGTCCACCCGCATCCGCTGGTTTTATCCTAGTCCTGACTCGTGAATTTGATGCTGCTTAATTGTTCCTTTCTCTCTTTTTTTTAATAATCTGAACACTCCTCTCTCTCCTTGTGTCAGTCTAACTTCTGCAGACTCATCAAAAGCTTCCCAGAGCACATGACTGACCACTTGATGCAACAGTTCAAAACTTCCTGTATGTTGTGCAACGCTTGTTTTCAATTTTTCACCAAGGAACAAAATAAATAATAGCATGGAGCATGCCAGTATTTATGTTTACATGTACATCTATCAGTATATTTCACTACTTTTTAAAACCAAACTTTATAAATACTTTTGTAACTAAATCTGATCTTTCTTTAACTGCTCGATTTTGCCACCTTGTGGATTCAGGCTAGATCTGCAGCTAGTGTTCCTGAGCTGTTTACAAAGATTTTTAAACAGTTTTCTTTCTGATCTATGAGGCTGAATTTGATCCAAAGTCTGTTTCTACACTCCAGATTTTTTGGCATTTGTATTTATTTTTCTGTCATAACAATACATATAAAACACACGAAAAGGAAAATAATTATCTAATAAAGAGCGTAATAATAATTACCACAAGTACAACTTCCTCTTATAAATTAAACAGTTTTGTTAGATATAATTTATGAACAAAAAGGTACAGGCTGAAGTCAGACTTAGCTTTCAGCCTAAAGGAGCGACGAGTCCCTTGTGCCAAAATGTTACAACATTTACGAAAACCCGTTTTTAAATATTTGCACTTCTTGCTCAAAACCTGAACTAACTCCACAATTCAGGACAGACAAACAATGACCGTTTGCTCCCCGTTTCCAGACTTCTCATGAAAAATAAAACAGCTAATAACTGAGTTTTACCCAGTTTATGTGAAAAAAGACCAAAGATATCTGTCTTTACAGCAGTCCGGCGATGTGTGTGTGTCCATCTTCCCATGACTCCTCAAAGGGATTCACTGACTTAAAGCATTACAACATTATTTATGTATCATTTATTTGAGCGTGCATATTTTCCAGCACATATCTCAACATCCCACCATGTTCTGCTTTTGAAAACAATGTTTTTAGAGGTGTAAATGTTACTTTTCACGACTCCAAAACATGTGAGTTAGAGCTTCCTTTTCCTTATAAAGATCGAAAAGTTAATTTATTCTCATGAAACTATAAATGACAATGATTGAACCCATGAGTCAGCCAATCTCTCGCTACCCCCAAAATTCACATCATTCAACAGCTTCTCCCCCCACCACCAAGCCTCCTCAGCACCACCCTCTCAGCTACACCTGACCAAGTGAGGAGGGAACTGAGGAAGCTTAAAAGCAGGAAAGCTGCAGGACCTGACGGAATCAGCCCTGGACTGCTCAGTTTTGTGAAGTGGTCACACGCATGTTCAACCCGATCCTTCAGTTGGAGAAGGTCCTCATCCTGTGGAAGACCTCCTGTGTGGTCCCAGTTAACCAAACATCACATCCCCAAGAATCAGACCACTACAAACCAGCAGCCTTGACCTCCCATCTGATGAAGGTCATGGAGAGACTTGTCCTCTAGGCTCTGTGGTGAACCCAAAGACAGACCCACTGTAATTTGAATGTAAACCAAACACGGGGGTGGCGGACGCCCAAATTTATCTGCAGCACCAGATGCTGACTTACCTTAAGATGCAAAAAGGCACTATGAGAGTCATGTTCATTGATTCCTCAAGAACCTTCAACACCATCCAGCTGTCTTTGTTACAGCAGAAGATGAGGGGAGCAGGAGTGGACAAGCATGCTCTCACCATTTCTCTTTACCTTCCACACCTCAGACTTTACCTGCAACACCAGCAGCTGTCACCTCCAGTAGTTGTCTGATGACTCAGCCATTGTTGGCTGTGTGTCTGAGGAGAATGACCAGGAGGTCAGTCATCATGGACTTTGTGGACTGATGTGAGCGGAACCACCTTCACTTGAACACCAGTAAACATCCAGGGAGCAGACATTGAGGTGGTGGATACCTTTAAGTACCTGGGTGTTCACCTCAACAATAAACTGAACTGGTCCAACAACACAGATACTATAAGAAGGGCCAATGCCGCCTCCACCTCCTGAGGAGGCTGAGGTCATTCGAAGTTAATTCCCAGCTGGTAAAATCTTTTCATCACTCTGTGGTTGGCTCAGCTATCCACTCTGCTGTGGTCTGTTGGGGTGCAGGCAGCTCTGACCGAGAAAAGAAGTGACTGAACAAGCTAGTTAAAGAAGCTAGCTCGGTTCACAGCTGCCCCTCTGGATTCAACTGAGGAGACGTGTGACAGGAGAATGGTCGTGAAGATGACCTGTAGGAGCAAATATTGTTTTGGTTTAGATTATATTATGATCTAAGTTTATTTTGATAATGTTTTATGTACATTTCAGTTTATTGCACTATGGTTTGTATTTCCTTTGACCACTGGTGGCACTGTGGAGCCTATAAAGGTGTTGAGGTGGCAGTGCACTGGCGTTTTGTGGGTGACGGGAGGTCACACGGTTTTTACCGCTTCGTTTGGTTTCATATGCCACATCTAATTTGCCGTTATAACTTTCATCATTTACATAAACCTGGACAAGAAATAGCCATTCTGGACCCAGCTTGTGATCGTCAACATATTCAATAAATGGGACAATAACCCAAACCCGCTTTCTGCCTGGACAATATTGTTGAAGCGAGTCATTGCCTCCACCCGCACCCGAGGGTGACTAAAAGTGGGACTTGATAGTCACTACAACAAGTAAAAACCTGGACCTGTCTGGAATTGGAGGAAGTCGCATCTTCTGGAGCTCATCAGGAAAAGTTTGGCAGGTGCCACGCCCGCGGCGCTGTTTACCTGGAGGTTGGATTGAGACGCCATCACATATCGATCTTTTGTTGGGACTCCACATAAAAGCAATCTAAAAGGTTTGAGGCACAAGCAAAACATTCACGACATCTCCGGTGAGTGCAGTCATCCTTTTGGGTTAAAGACGCTGAAGTGGAGTTTTACGCTGCGGCCGCTGCAGCCTGACAGGAGCTGATTGCCTGCATAAGAACTGCTAAGGATATTGATGGCTTCCACTCATTAAACTGTTCATTCATGTGCTGATGTCTGGAAAACAAAAAAGTGACTGTGTCAATTCTCGTGCTTTGCGGCAAATTAAAGCGCAGCAGTGCGTAAAATAGCGCGAGGAAGAGCGCCACAATCATCTGTGTTTGCTGAATCGTGTTTTATGAATGAAATGGATTTGAATAATGATGAAACCAATTCTAGAGACAATGAAAATCAAAAAAGACAAAGGAAGTTTTCTGTTAATTCTGATAATCCCTTCCACCCACTGCATCCCACTGTAGAGACCATGGACAGCTCCTTCAGAGGCAGACCGAGACAACCCAGATGTAGAACAGAACGCTACCATAGGTCATACATCCCCTCTGCAGTAAAGCCTGAGTCATGCTTCCGGGTCTGTGTCAGTGCGGAGACACGCAACTCCATTATCCGTCCTTGCGGGCCTGCTGGAGAGCTCCGCAAGGACGGACGGAGTCGAGCTCTCTTTTCTAAACATCCGTCCATCGAGATGGAGAACACAAGCTTGTGATTGGTCAGGGCACCGCTGTCCTCTACACCGCCGCCACCCTCAATAACAAAAAGACAACTGAGGATAACTAGCGGCAGACACTGAGAAGCTTGAAGAATGCCTCGCGAAAAAACTCTAAAATATGAACGTTTTATTCCCCCGTGAATAAATATATTCGGCGGTAGTTTTATTTGTGGATGGAAATGACAGGAAACGTGGGTTTAGAGGTGGCGAGCGCATGAAGAGGTGGAGGAGAATGAGAGACAAATTTGTCCACGTTAAAAAGTCTCTTATATACAAAAAACACAATCTAAACACACTATCTTGGACTGATACATGACAGGATACCACAGAACAGCGCTACGCCCTCTGTTGTCCTGGCAGGGAATTGCTTTGCAACACTCCCCAGGAGACGGAGAAGCAGGAGAGCAAAACATCTCCGCGTGTGCATGCGTGTCTGTCCCTTTTGGACTGACGGAGAAGCATGACTCAGGTTTTAGAGTGTATAACTCCTCAGTTTGACTGGTACTGGCATTATGCTGGTGCACAATAACATCAATGCAATACTCAGTATTTATTAAATACTATTGCAATGCCTGATGAACATTATGTCTGTGTCCTTTACAGTATGCTGCATAGTTCTGAAAACACAAATTCCCTTTTTTGTTGTTTTGAATGGTTGAAAGCTACAATAATAGCTTACTGCCTTTGTGTGTAATCTTGTTATTGTTTTTCTTCTTCCTTGTGTATTTGTATGTGCTGCTGTAACGAGTGAATTCCCCCACTGTGGGATTAATAAAGTATAATCGTTTCTATTCTATTCTATTCTACTCTATACTATTCTATTGGACAAACAAAAGTGCTGTTACACATTTAGTTTAGCTTGGGTGTATCAAGGACAGTTCAAAACACAATGTTAAATGTGAGGGCAAAGCAGCCGTTGTTTTGCACAGAGGTTTTCTAACCAGAGGGTAATTTGTAAACTTAGTCCTTGATTTGACTGTTTGAGACAATCAGATGACAGAATTTTATAGTCTCACGATTAATCAGAGGAATGCAAAACACAAACAACACGAGAAAAATGACCTTTTATGTAAAGTCATATTTAATTTTTGATGCTTTTGAGGCTATGAGGACCAAAAAAAATATTGCGTTTGGTTTGCAGTTTTTTAAACAAGCAGTCCAAACTCTGTTTTGGGGATTTCTCAGTAGCAAATCAATAGTGTGGAAAAAATATGCACTGTGACAACATCAGGAGGGCAGTTTTGCTGGGAATAGTAATGATTAACAAAAAGTAGTTTAAAAGAATAAATCACAGTTGCTTGTGGTTCCAAACAGCTTCATGATGAGGACCGACATCACAGTACAGCTGAGCATCTGTGCCCTGTGCCTGTCTCTGACAGCTTTTGATGGACTTCTGTACGTATAATTTACTGTTTCTTGTGAAAATGATGGATGCTAGAGTCACAGTAATAATATTCTTAATTTACTTCATCGTGGCTTTAGGCTAATATTATGTATTCTATTAATAACATTAAATTAATTAAGCTAAATAGTGGTATTTACAACATTATTGTATATTTAAGTATTTTTATTTCAATTTGCTGAGATATTTATTTTGAACTTTGATAATGTTGGTATTTCTGCTCAAAATCATTTTATTGTGAATTATTGGATTTAACATATTTTACATTTTCTGTAAGAAATCAATAGACTCAAAGTTTTGTTTTTAACCCTCTGGAGGCAGGCGTTGCAGATTTGCAACAGTTAAAACCTACCTACCTGGTTACTCCACATACGTATTTCATGAGCATTTTATTAACTCAGAAGTACCCCTGAAGGACTTAGTTGTTCGTCCTTTTATCAGAACTTATTTTGAGCCTGAGAGGGTCAAACAGAAGAGCCTTTGAATAAAAAAATTCCATCAAAACTAATGCAATCCATTCCTAATTGGTGTAATAGTGTGATACACTGAGGTTTGTAGTTTGTTTTCCATTTCTATATATATATATATATATGTTCAATAGGAAGTGAAAGAAGCTCTGGTAGCTTATATAATCCCCCCAAATTTCGAGACAGATAAAACAAAAAAAATATTTTCCCTACACTGAATGTCATTGCCATTTTCTTATAACATGTTTTATCCTCAATCACACAAACAAAATTTACATTTTTTTCATGCCCCCCCCCCCTTTCCAATATTCACAACAATAGACAATTACAATCAAATGCAACACCTTTACAACTTTTCCTTCTCCTTCATGTAAATAATTAGTATAATTTTTTTATACTTCTCTTTAAACTTATGCAATGAGGGACTTTGCTTTAGATCCCCACTTAGCTTATTCTAAACTTCTACACCCGTAACAGAAATACAAAATGACTTTAATGTTGTTCTAAAATATGCATGCCTAAAGTTAAGTTTGTTTCTGAAATTATATACGTTATCTGGTTTTATAAATAGCATTAATAATTTGTTTGGTAATAATTTCCTATGCACTTTAAACATGAACGTCACTGCATACAGTTGAAGTAAATCTTTAAATTTCAGTATTTTTGAATATATAAATAACGGATTTGTGTGTTCTCTAAATCTAACATTGTGAACGACTCAAAATGAGGGAAAAAACAACAAATACACAAAATAAAATATTTGGTATTAGTTGTAGTCAAATGAAATGATAAAGAAAATGTGTAGAAATTGTGCAAATATTCAATGTTTTACTCAAAAAGTCAACAGTTGGCCATTTGAACTTTGAACGTTTTAGCTTTCATTCTGTTTGCACACACACACACACACACACACACACACACACGTGAGCGCGATTGCATGACACATCCTGTTGTTCTTTGTTTCTTAATGTGTTTTCAGTTTCCACATTTCATTGTAATTGAACTTATTTTCCAGTCACTTACTCTTCAAATGTCATTAATTGCTATCTAGCTAACATAACTTATTTTTTGTTTATTCTTCCTCTTGCACCATCTTAACATGATCAAAGAACATTTATTTAGTTGTTTGTGTTTTTTCAGGTTACTACAACTTCCTGACCCATCACCTATAGATTGTGTATGGAGCCGCTGGTCAGGGTGGACTTCCTGTGATCCCTGCACAAACACCAGGGTAAATCAGAGACAGAAACTGTATCCATCTTTTGTTTTTTTCTTTAGTCTATCCACATTCTGAGATGATTTTATCACATGGATCTTCAAATTCAGTGTTGACAAAACTTTTTGTTGTTTAAAATCCTCAGAGGCGTTCTCGGGGTATAGAGATCTTTGGCCAGTTTGGGGGTGAAGCCTGCGCTGGATCGATAGGTGAAAGGGAGTTCTGCCAAACTTCAGATCTGTGTTTGCAGCCAACGCCGAGTCTTTGCTCAGACTCAGAGTTCCAGTGTGGTACAGGTACTGCAGCCTCTTTTACCCACCAATCAACCTTCTATCATGCAGTTTTCTGGACCTCCTTGGTATCATTTTTTAATCTTTGTACAGAATTGAAAACATGCATCAAAGCGCGATTAGAGTGCAATGGGGACTATGACTGTGAAGACGGGTCAGATGAGGACTGTGACCCTGTGCGTAGACCTTGCGGCAATCTTCTACTTGAGAACAATGAGCAAGGCCGGACAGCAGGATATGGGTGAGAGCGGTCAAAGACAAAGTTCACATGGAATCAATGAAGAGAAAACTGGGGAAAACCAGTTTTTTTTTCTCAAGGTGCAGATTGGAACATTTTACTTGCTACTAGGGCTGCACGATATTAGGAAAACCTGCGATATTCGATGACAATGATTAATATTGCCATGACGATATTACTTGCAATAAATAAAAACTTAACTCAGGAACAAGAATAATCAAAAACAAAGAAATAAAAATATCATAAAAATGAGAAAAGGGACAAGGGAAAGGGAAAAAGAAAATGTAAAAGAAAAGGCAATCGGTGGATCCCGGGAAGCATAAAGAGCAAAACAAAGCTAACTCACGTGTTTGCTAACCATCAAAATGAAGAGCCATCCGCCTCGGGGGCGGGCATCTAACCTATGAGAACCCACCCAATTGGCCAAATGGGTGAAGAGCTCTATTTGATTTGTTAAAAAAAACAATGCCTCCGCTTGATTGACAGAATGCATTATGTTTAGCAAACATTTGAGCTGACCATTCATTGCGATATTTAATTGTTCTTTGCAATATGCATATCGTGTATGCTGATATCGCAATAACGATATGTTGTGGCGCCCTACTTGCGGCACCAATAAAATAAAAGCTAACGCCTGGCAAGTGTTGTGGACAGCTTTTATCTGAATGACCTCAGTTTGGAGTATTAAGCATCTGCTGCATCGAGGGTTCTGGGACTGGTCAGAGCAGGTTGTTGTGGGACAGTATAGTCTGGTATGGGTCTGAGATTTCAGGAAAGCATTTTGATTGTCATGTGGACTCTCACATACAGTGGTGTGAAAAACTATTTGCCCCATTCCTATTTCTTATTCTTTGCATGTTTGTCACACAAAAGGTTTCTGATCAAACACATTTAACCATTAGTCAAAGATAACACAAGTAAACACAAAATGCAGTTTTGAAATGATGGTTTTTATTATTTAGGGAGAGAACAAAATCCAAACCTACATTGCCCTGTGTGAAAAAGTAATTGCCCCCTGAACCTAATAACTGGTTGGGCCTCCCTTAGCAGCAATAACTGCAATCAAGCGTTTGCGATAACTTGCTACGAGTCTTTTACAGCGCTCTGGAGGGATTTTGGCCCACTCATCTTTGCAGAATTGTTGTAATTCAGCTTTATTTGAGGGGTTTCTAGCATGAACCGCCTTTTTAAGGTCATGCCATAGCATCTCAATAGGATTCAGGTCAGGACTTTGACTAGGCCACTCCAAAGTCTTCATTTTGTTGTTCTTCAGCCATTCAGAGGTGGATTTGCTGGTGTGTTTTGGGTCATTGTCCTGCTGCAGCACCCAAGATGGCTTCAGCTTTAGTTGACGAACAGATGGTCGGACATTCTCCTTCAGGATGTTTTGGTAGACAGTTGAATTCATGGTTCCATTTATCACAGCAAGCCTTCCAGTTCCTGAAGCAGCAAAACAACCCCAGACCATCACACTACCGCCACCATATTTTACTGTTGGTATGATGTTCTTTGTCTGAAATGCTGTTACTTCTACGCCAGATGTAACGGGACATTTGCCTTCCAAAAAGTTCAACTTTTGTCTCATCAGTCCACAAGATACTTTCCCAAATGTCTTGGCAATCATTGAGATGTTTCTTAGCAAAGTTGAGACGAGCCCTAATGTTCTTTTGGTTTGAGTCTTGGAAATCTGCCATGCAAGCCATTTTTGTCCAGTCTCTTTCTCATGGTGGAGTCGTGAACACTGACCTTAATTGAGGCAAGTGAGGCCTGCAGTTCTTTAGAAGTTGTCCTGGGGTCTTTTGTGACCTCTCGGATGAGTTGTCTCTGTGCTCTTGGGGTAATTTTGGTCGGCCTCCCACTCCTGGGAAGGTTCACCACTTTTCCATGTTGTTGCCATTTGTGGATAATGGCTCTCACTGTGGTTCGCTGGAGTCCCAAAGCTTTAGAAATGGCTTTATAACCTTTACCAGACTGATAGATCTCAGTTCTCATTTGCTCTTGAATTTCTTTGGATCTTGGCATGATGTCTAGCTTTTGAGGTGCTTTTGGTCTACTTCCCTGTGTCAGGCAGCTCATATTTAAGTGATTTCTTGATTGAAACAGGTGTGGCATTAATCAGGCTTGGGGGTGGCTACAGAAGCTGAACTCAGGTGTGAAACACCACAGTTGGGTCATTTTTTAACAACGGGGGCAATTACTTTTTCACACAGGGCAATGCAGGTTTGGATTTTGTTCTCTCCCTAAACATTTTGTGTGACAAACATGCAAAAGAATAAGAAATCAGGAAGGGGGCAAAGTGCACAATGTTGCATCAAGCTGACCAAATCTTGCAACTACTTGTTGGCATCTTCTCACGTCCCACAACAAAAACAGACAAAACAGCATCCTGACCCACTCCGACCCGTCAAGAACCTCTCAATGAAACCGCAGCATCAGTGACTTGTTTGACCAGATGTCATTGTAGGTCCTGTTTAAACGGCCATCTTGATACAAACCAAATCACAAAAAGGAAATCTGAGTTCCCATTAATCTTTCTTTTTTATATTTATTAGTTTGAATTTTGCATCACATGGTCATTTATATAGAATTCCATGGTAAGCGTTGGTGGAAATTACATTTCAAGCCAGCTATCAGTAGTTTTATTTATTTATGTCATTCTTGTTTAACTGGATGAACCGATTGACGACTAGTTTTCATTTTTGACGACCTGGTCAAGATGCAGCAGCAAGAATTGAAAGTATGAAGTGTGTTTGTGTTTGAGACAGTGTTTGATCAGAATTGCCAATTTCTGTGGTAAAAAAATCTCATTTCATTTTACATCAGTACATATTGGTGTATGTAAACTGATAGTAATGGACCTCAGGAACCTCTTTGATTTCTTTGCACAATAGAAGACACATTACATACATATGTACATTGAAGCTGCTGTTATATCTGTACACCAGAATCAACATCTTGGGTGCGGCTCCTCGAATGAACCCCTTCTTCAATGATTACTTCAACGGGAGATGTGATAAAGTGAGAAATCCAAACACTGGGAAGTATGACAGGCTTCCCTGGAATATTGGTGTGCTCAATTATGAGGTTAGATCACACACACACAAAAAAAATCATTTTTCAATCATGTTGAACCTCCAACTGAAGACTTTCTGTCATTTCAGACTCTGGTGGAGGAAACAGTCTCCAAAGAAATCTATGAGAACACACACACCCTCCTAAAGGAGATTCTACAAGAATCCACTTTTTCAATTGATGCTGGACTTTCCTTCAAACTCTCTCCGAGTGAGCAGTCCATGTCCAATATGTCTGTGGGTGGTGAAGTGGGGGCTGAATATTCAAGGACAAATATGATTAAGAAAGTTGAAGAGTACACAACTATTAAGGTGAACATTTGTAAATGCTCAACACAGTTCATAAGGTGGTCATACACTTATTAAATTATTATTATTAAACTATGCATGCAACGCTTTTTTGTTTGCTCCTGCTGGACCTGAGCCTAACGTAAAGATCTAAGACTTCTTCTAAAAGGCCTTGTTCTTCCAGATTTAGTTTACAAACGTGTCTAAATTGGGGATAGTCAGTGCCTCTCTCTTCCTGAGATGATCCATCCCCCTCACAGGTGTGGCCCATCAACATGCTGATTAGACAGCCTGATTATTGCACAGGTGTGGGTTAGGCTCGCTCCGATAAACGGCCACATTAAAGAAAATGTGCAGTTTGATCACACAGTGCAATGCTACAAATGTCACTAGTACTGAGAGAGCATACAGTGCAATTGGCATGATGCCTACCAGAGCTGCTGTCTATGTTCTGCTCTCTATCATAAGATGTCTCCAAAGATGTTCAGAGAATTAGGCAATATTTTTTACTTTCTTTAACACTGAAAGTACTACTAGTTTACTTATTATTAGTTGTTGTTATTATTTTATATATTATTATTATTATTATTATTATTATTATTATTATTATTATTATTATTATTATTATTATTATTATTATTATTATTGAGTGTTTCTTCTCGGTCTTCTCAAATCCCCAGTGAGTTGTGGTGGACGTCTGCTCATACTGGGCCAGGTTCTGTTGGACATTTCTTTCTGTTAAATGGGAGTTTTCCTCTCCACTGTCGCTACATGATTGCTTAGCATGGGGGTTGCAGTAAAGACAATGACACAAAGCAGTGACTTGATGCAATGTAATGGGTTTCCTTAGATGGAAAACTCTGAATTAGTTGGAATTGTGAACTGAACATCATGAACTGATAAGGTAGTGCAGCAGTAGCTCAAGAGGTAAAGTAATTGGAAGGTTGCAGATTCAATCCTGGCTCCTGCCAAAGTATTTTGCTGTTGTGTCCTTGGGCAAGACACTTAACCCTCCCTGCCAGCTGGTTGTGGTCAAAGGGACAAGTGGTGCATGTGCTCAGCAGCCTGTGGTGTAAAGCACAGGAGTCCTCTGACTCTGAGAGGCGCTATACAAGTGCGGGTCATTTATCATAAGTTGGTTCAGTTGGAAGGTTTGCTTTGTAAAGTGCGTTGAGGTGACTCTTGTTGTGAATTATAAAACTGAATTGCATTGGTTTGAACACATCCAATCTGCCTCACAACTGAAGACCAAGTATAACCACACCAGTCCAGGACCTCCACATCCAGCATTTTCACCTCCAAGATCGTCCGAGACCAGCCACCTGAGCAACCGCGGCAACAAGTTTGCATAACCAAAGAAATTCTGTACAAACTGTCAGAAACCGTCTCAGGGGATCTTATCTTCATGCTTGTCTGCCATATAAACGTAACCTGACTGCACTTTGTCATCATAATTGAGTGAGTGGTCAAATGCTTAAATCTGATGGCGCCTAGCTCTTTGGAGAGGTCTTTCCTTCATGGATAAATTCTGGGTAGAAGGCAAAAAATGGGTTTGGATGAGTGGTTTGCTGATGTCAGCGATGCGAATGGTGGTCCATGGTGGTGGACGCGTTGTGGAACAGGCATGCATGTGTCATGGACAATGAACACATATGCATTTCATTGATCGCGGTTAAAATGCACAAAGACATAGCGACGAGATATTGAGGCTCATTGTTGTGCCATTTATCCATCACCGGGATGTGAGCACACTTCCAAGTTCACATCCCAGCTCCTGAATGCTCAGCATCTCACCTGAGACGTCACCCATTGAGCATTTTTGGGATGCTCTGGATGAACGTATAAAGCAAAATGTTTCCAGGTCCCAGCAACTTTTCAAGAGGGGTGGACCAGCATTCCACAGGCCATGCGAGGAAGACATGTCTCGCTGAGCAGTACCTGACAGTCTCGGCATGAGAGAAGCACTTACCAATTCAGATTTAGACAGTTTTGTGAAAAAGTTGAGCGAGAAGCCTTTTGTTGGCATGGAATAAGTTTAGCTCATGCCCAATGGGGACAAAGCAAGAGTTGCGTTTATAATTTTGTTTAGTGTGAATTCTTGTAGTCCCACACTCTGACAGTCTAATGGGCCATTCCCATCTGTACCGGGTCGGCCCGGGCCGGGTAGCGTAGGTTGTTTACATATCTGGGTGGCCTGGTATTTTTCTGGGCCAACCAAGGCTCATTCTCAGCCCTCTTCTCGAGGGAGTCTGCTTCAGGCCGACCAGGGCCAACACACCCACTGCTGACAGCAAATTCACACCTTCCATTAGAGCAAGCCTCTGATTGGTGGGTAGAATCAGCCCACATGGGCTTAAGACAAGGATGCGTGGAATCAACCGGGCCAGGCTGGGGCCGACTGGGGCTACCCGGCCCGGGCCGACCCGGTACAGATGGGAATGGCCCATGAGTGACACATTTGCAGTTTTCTGTGTGAAAATAAATCTAGCCACAGGACAAAGCTCCAAGCTAACCTTTACATCAACTGATTCTGACCAAAGTAAAAAAATAAATAAAAGGAGTAAAACCACCTTTAGTGTAAAAATGTGTCCTGGAATGGTTACAATTTCTACACTTACACAGGTCTTTCTCCTGCTTCTCATTTTAGAACAAGAGCTTTATGAAGGTGAAGGGCAAAGTGCAGATGAGTACCTACAGGATGCGTTCCCGTGAACTCAAAGTTGCTGAGGAATTCCTCCTTCACGTCAAGTCTTTGCCTCTCGATTATGAGAAGGGTATTTATTTTGCCTTCCTGGAGGACTACGGAACGCACTACACCAAAAATGGGAAGTCCGGTGGCCAATATGAGTTGATCTATGTTCTTAACCAGGACACCATCAAACAAAAAAGTACGTACTGCAGCTACCAAATTTAAGCCAAAGGTTGAATTGATCTTTTACATTCTGTGATGAATGATTTGTTAATGAGCTTGCATTCTCTTCTTCTTTCTTGCAGATATTACCGAGAGAAGCCTTCAAAATTGTGTCAAAGTAGGGATCTCTGTGAATGTTGGGGTTCCGGATGCAGCAAATGCTGAAGCACATGTAAAACCTAAATACTGCGACAAATTTAATCCCAAAGATACAGGTATCTTGTCTCCATTTTTACTCATCGCACTGATTTCTAAACCTTCACTTATTTAAAAAAAAAATTTCAGATGTGCTGATTGAGTTCAAAGATTAATGGAAAGACAAAAGTTTGAGGCCTAATTATTATATTGTGCTTCAAAATAGAAATGACATACTGTGTCAGCCTTGAAGAAAGGCTAAATTTTGTTCTTTTTGGCTCCACAGAGATTTCTGATGGAAAGGCAATGGTGGACAAAGTGATGACCTCAGTGAGAGGTGGAACTCTTTTAGCTGCTAGCGCTATGAAGACTCAGCTGAACACGGAGGGGACCATGTCCCTTAAAACTTATCAGGATTGGGCGCATTCCATCACCGAGGAACCTGCGCTGCTTTACAGTGAGGTAGAAACAATAAACTCGGAGTGCTTTCCTCCAACACACCAATCATGGTGTCCCTTAGCATTCTAATTGTGTTAACGTGGTTGATAAATTTAAAGACTCGTTGTCTAATGAGCTTTGAAAGAAAAGCGTCTGGACTTCTTTGAGTTGCTTGAAGACGTTTCACCTCTCATCCGAGAGGCTTCTTCAGTTCTAAGGTCAAATGGTGGAGAGTCCCAGATTTAAACCCAGTGGGAGTTTCCCCCCGAAGAGGGAACAAAAGACCCCCTGATGATCTTCTACATAAACACATGAGCCAAGGTGTGAGGGTGGGTGTGGGTCCTATTCAGCCAGAGTTTCGGGTGAGCTCATTGTGAAACCTGGCCCCACCCTATCATGTGAATTCTTGAGGTCAGATGGCCCAGGATATGCGTGGGCATTGAGGCATCTGGGAAGGGATCTCAAAACTGGATTATAGATGGCAGACAGTTGGTGTCGTAAACCACTGCCTCTGTTCAAAGATGGTTGCTCACAGTGGACATAAATGGCTTCCTTTACTCCTCTTTCAAACCATCTGTCCTCTCTGTCCAAAATGTGTCCAGACGCTTTTCTTTCAAAGCTCATTAGACTACAATGACCTGGATGACAGAGAACCTTCACAGACTTAAAGACTCGTTGTGTAGCTGTACTAAAATGTCTTCAGCTAAAAATGGGTGGAAATGTCAACTCTGGGTTGTGACTGAACTTCTGCTTCTGGTGGTGGACAGAGCGGGTCAATACAGTATGGTCCAGCATAGTGTGAGTGTTTCCACGTTCACTGGAGATAAAACAGAAAAAACAAAAACAAGCGATTAAGTGCTTTCTTCACATTTGCCTAAAAACCTCCGCTAATAAAACAGCTCAGACAGAAAGCAACGATTGGACTGTCCAGTTGTCTGTCCCACTGAACCACATTTACCTGGGTCCTCCACTCATTTTGCATGTGCATTTTGCAACAGAACACCACTGGTCAGTAATGTCAAAGCAGGAGAAAGCTGCTACCACTTGAACTTTCGGACGGACTAGATTCCCCAAAAAAACCAAACATTTGAAGTCGCGGACAACAAAAAGTCTTTTGGATGTAGAAAATAGCACTCTCTCATTTACTCAGGCAATCTGGGTTTGGGTATTCAGCGGACATGGACTGGGGATGCTAGCCAGCAGGAGGAGAGAGAGTTCTGGGACAGTGTTTGTGTTTAAAAGCTAGCTTGTTTTGCAGATTTGCTAGTGCAGCTTTATCGCCCTCTATTGGCATGGCATAGTATTTCAGCAATTCTCTTTTGTTTATCATGTTGATGAAGTTTTTCAAGAACATAGGATTATCAAGTTAATTGTTTAAGACTTTAGACAACCCAAACACACTTTCAAAGTGTGTATCCTGTTTTTTACAGCCCGAGCCCATCTACATGTTGGTGCCACTAGATCTTCCAAGTGCGAACACCAGGATATCAAACCTTAAGAGGGCCATTGAAGAATATGTGGCTGAGTATAACAAGTGCAAGTGCAAGCCCTGTCAGAATGGAGGCACGTTGGCCCTGCTGGATGGGAAATGCATTTGTATGTGCCCTAACCTGTTTGAAGGTCAAGCCTGCCAGAACTTTAAGAGTGACAAAGCCAAAAGTCCAGGTGAGATTTGAAAGCAAAAAGCTTCCCAGCAGATCTTTTTTACTGTGTTTTTCTTTTTTTTATTATTCATCTTTGAATAATGTTTTGCAGCAAGCAGACCTGCTGTTATTCAGGTGGGTAACTGGTCCTGCTGGTCAGCCTGGTCCTCTTGTAGTGGAGGGAAACGTACGAGGTCTCGCAGGTGCAACATGGACGGACTCACTGATGCTTCCTGCAGAGGAGACACAACCAGTGAAGGATACTGCTAATAAAGCAAGAAAACAACTATCTAGCAAGCATGGTTCTTTGTGGGTAATCACTCTGTTGAATGTACAAAAATAAAAAAACAGCAGAATCAGAATCAGAAGTTTTTATTGCCATATGTGTGCCAAGTCACAACATTAGGAAATTGCTGCGGTATTTTGGTGCAGAAGGTAAGATAGAAAAAAAATTAATTAAGAGATAAGCAAATATAAGAACTAATAAAACACTCATGATAAAATTATTAATGTAAAAAGTGGCAATAATTAGAGAAGCAGCTATCTACTCTGTGTAGGTATTAATCTGAGTGTTTGTTGAATGGTTCAAGCACAGCATCGGGTCACGTGACTGGGACCAATCAACTTGAGTGGGCTGCCCTAGGATGTTCATTCAAAAGTCCAACTGCAGAGGGGAAGAAACTGTTTTTGTGGCGAGAGGTTCTGGTCCAAATGGATCTGAGCCTTCTGACAGATGGGAGCGAGTCGAAGAGACTGTGTCCAGGGTGAGACGAGTCCGCTATTATCCGACCTGCACGCCTCAATGTCCTAGAGGTGTACAGATCTTGAATGGAGGGGAGTTTGCAGCATGTTTGTTGATAGTTTTATTGCTCATTTGTGGGACTTGGGAAAGCAAAATAAAACTAAAATTGACAAATGTGTGAATTTTATTGAAGGTTTTTCCAGGTATTGTATCATCCTCAGATAATTGTGCTGCCTAATAAACCACATGCTAAAGAGAAAAAGAGCATTTTTTATCACATCCCAAAGCAATATCTGGTGTCTCTGAGACTTTGGTTGCCTTTAAAATCCATGAATGAAGAATTAATGGGTAAATAACTCATCTTCAAAAGGATGGACACAGTTCAGCTGCTTGTGCAAATGTGAAGTGGATGAGCTGAAAGCTGTGAACTCTGGATCAGCTAGAGGTAGTTTAGAGCCGAATGTAAACAAAACACAAAAATAAAATATGTGTGTGTGTTTTATCTTTAACAGAATCAGAAACTCCTCTGTTCAATAATCTGTATGTGAGTTCAGTAATCTGTAGATGATGAAGTACTTTCTGTTGTAGAGTTTTTTAAATTCCTCTGTTCTGTCATGGAGTTAAATTCTGATTTGATCAACATGCTAATGGCTAGTTAAAACAGGGATAAGACCATCATGCACTGCTGTTGTTTGAACTCAGTTCAAATATAAAAAGCATATGGATTGCACCAATACAACTTGTGTGTGTGTGTGTGTGTGTGTGTGTGTGTGTTTGGCTTAATCTAGAACAATATTTCAATCAATCAATCAAATTTTATTTGTAGAGCACCTTCCACAACGTTATCGGAAGCCCAAGGTGCTGAACAGCATCATCATAAGAAAAACATTCCCAGTACATGGGCATAAAAGCAGGATAAAAACATAAAATCATAAAATATCAAGCAAACACTATTACAAATGAAGAGAGATAACAAAAATAAGACTAATCGATCAAAAACAAATGGTGGACAAAATAAAATCAAGCATCTGGGTTAAAAAGAAGAAGAATTAAAACCATGATGTCAGGGCAATTCAAAGAACCCTAAGCGCTAAAACGCAATCAAATAAAAATGAGTCTTTAAATGAGACTTAAAGACGTGAAGGGATGGTGCCTGCCTAATGCTCAGTATTTAAAATGTATTTCATTGAGCTTACATCCAATCACACATTAAAGACTTTTGAAATGGCAAAAATAATATCATATTAAGGATTAAAAAATATTTTATACGCATCCTCGATAAATGTGAGTCATCAGATGCCATCGACTGTATAAAGTGGCCTGAAAGCCCTAACATGTGTGCATGTGTGAGTATGTGGTGCAGTAACACGGGAGTGAATGCAAACTTGAGAAATAACCGCATGGGGTGATGGCCCCTGGCCTTTAGGATGTCACCATAATGGAGCAAAGGTTTTTGACCGTATTGAACTCCAGGGAGATCCCATTCACTCCTAACAAAACTTGACTTCCAGCCTTTATCTTAGTCTAAACTGTTTTGTTCTTTGTTCCCTGCTTGAACAGAAACGTTTGCACAAAATAATGAACCCACTGTTTCAAAATAGACTGCTGCTTTTTTTTCCATTTACTATAAATGTTCAAATGTGGAAACGTGGAAAAACATCACAGATGTGTTCAAGAACATCACGGAAACTGTAGCATTTGTTCCGGAATCATTGTTGTGGCTGAGCTACAGTACATAACAGATTCATGTGGGTATTTTTTTTTATTTCCATGTTTAATAAATATTGTTATGAGTAGTAGTAGTGAGTATCCTAAGTAAAGTAAAGTCCATTAAATGCCTGCTTTCATTAAACAGTAATTATACTGAACCGGACCTACTTTAGATCTTGTGTTTAATATTTAATGAAGACTAAGAACACAGGAGGAGTTAATGTAATAAATGATGTCATCTTAAGGCCAAACATTAAGCTGAGAGCGCTCCAGTTGCTGGGAAATGAATTCAGAGTTTGCTTTTAGAAAGCGAACCATTTGTCTCATCTATACTTTCAGTCGACAATCGGCAAGGGGCTATTTCTGTCTAACAAAAGCAGAGTGAGCAAATCCCCCCCTTTTCCACTCCTAAGTGCGTGGGCACAGCTGGAATTGTCCCCATGGGTCACCAGAGGCACAGACGTTTTAAAGGCCTGCTATGGAGGATTACTCCACACAGCACCATGGAAATGAAGTTATGCAGCTCGCCAGCTCTGTTTTGTGTTCCTGCCGTCATTCCTTTTAAACCCATGCTTTCGTAGGGGTGTGGGCTGTTTCTGATTGGCTGATTAAATATTTCTTCTTTGCAACATCACTCGGTGAAGCTTGAAATCCCACCGCTCCTTCTCTCATGAACTCTCTGTCATAAATCAACCCTTCCCCCATTTTCTTCACCCACCCCTAAAAAGCCTGCTTTCCTCAGACCCACCCCCTCAACCCCTAATTATCCTGGGTCACAGGGATTTGCTCAACTCACTTTGCTTTTGCTAAATTTGTTTATTTATTCTCCTTTTTTTTATCAGAACGGAACAGTTGTTCAATTGTGTTAAAAAACTTTAATCCTCTGCTGGTGCTAGCTAACAGGATTCTGGTATTTATTTAGGAAGTGAATACGTTTGTTAAAACACATATGGATGTATATACGGACAGTCCAAATTTGTTAAGGCAAGCACTCAAGAATGTTTGTAGGTAAAAGTGCACAGACCACAAAAATGTGATAAAACTGCTACATTATTTTATGGGGAATTCTCTTATTTATGGTGCTCAGACTAGGTGAAGACATGCTATAAAAAGCTGTGCTGTAAGAAGAGATTTAACTGCTTTTACTCCCTTTAAGTCATGTAAATATGGTGGTGTTTTCACATTGATATGTGTGTTCTGTTTTACAGAACATAAGGGTTATTGTGCAGAGATCACATAGAAAAAGCAAAGTCAACTCTAACACAACACTAATGGAGCCAAGGCTGTGATATTTTTCCTTGGCTTTTCTGTTTTTCCAAGGAAAAGATCCTCGACACTCATCCGAAACCTACATCCATTTTAATGTTTTCAACAAGAGTAGCGGTGTTTATCAACCCACTTCAGAATCAGAACCAGAAGGGTTTTATGCCATGTGTGAAAACCACATTAGGGAAATTGCTACTTGGTGCAAGAAAAATAAATGATAAGCAAAATTTGAATTAAGAAATAAACACAATGAAATGATAATAATAAAGGGAGACAATAATTAGTGAAGCAGCTACTTTATACAAGTCAGTGTAGGTACTGGTCAGAGCAGGTCAGTTCAGGTGCAAACACAACAGGGTCATGTGACTGAAACAAAGCAGCTGCAAAGGGAAAGAAACTTCTTGTGGTGAGAGGTTCTGGTCTGAATGGACTGGAGACTCCTGCCAAATGGGGGCGGGTCGATAAAACTGTCCAGGGTGGCACGGGTCAGCTGTGACCCGACCTGCATGCCTCAATGTCCTGGAGGTGTACAGGTCCTGTATGGAGGGGAGTTTTCAGCCAATTACCTTCTCAGCAGAGCGTACAACACACTGCAGCCTCTTCATATCCCTGATTGTAGCTCCAGCATACCACATGGTGATTGAAGAGGGGAGCCCTGGGAAAAATCTAAACATAAAAATTTTACTGTAAATGAGACCAAATTTCACCATTATAGACACTTATTTGTGGGCCACACAAAACCAATCTGGGCCACAAAATGTTTTTGTTATGATTAAATATCTTTATTTGGTTTTGGTCCCAGCAGCAAATTTTCAGGTTAAATAAGTTTCTGCTTTAGTGTTTTTAACACTAACCAGTACATTTGCAGTGGTCCCTGGTAGGAATGAATGCCTTACAAGCTGTACTCGGGGCAAAAAATGCCCAGAAGTGCCTGGATCAGCACCGACAACTCTGCTGCAGCAGAGTGGCACAACACGGCAAGATTTGGAGTCTTATTTCCTGATATTTGGACATCTTGCCTCGGAAGAGATAACAGCAATGCAACTCTACCGCTAACCCCGGGTTTCCACGGGAGCCGTCAGCAGCACGTCTTGCTCGCGTAAGCTGCTGCTTGGCCCTTCCCACGAGACGCGAAGCAGCAGGGGAGCAGCTGTCACCAACAGAGCACAAAGTCACACGAGTGACTTCGTCAGTAAACACAACAACAAGCAGGAGAAAACTACAACATGGTTTGTGTTTTATGTTCTGTCCGTTTTATAATCGCCAATACGGACCTGAAAAACAAAGGAGACTGCTAGCTAGGTGATAACTTCTCACGGGGCCGCACAGTTAGTAACGTTTTTTAAAAGTAAAGCAACCGGAAGGCAATACGTTTTTTATTCTGAAAATCTCGGTAGCTTCTCTCCATTTCCGCGTCTGATTTCCTGTCTTTCCTTCCCCAAAAATGTCTAACTTGACCCGTTTCAGAGGCGTCGTGCGTAGAAAATAGAACTGGCGCGTAAAGGCCGCGACATGCTGCTCCTGAGACGCGGCCGACTCGCGCTGCTGACGGCTCCAGTGGAAAAGGTTCTGTTGACCACAGCGGTTCCTATCAGCAGCTATGACGTGCTGCTGCAGTAACGTGCTGCTGACGGCTCCTGTGGAAAGCCGGGGTAACTCTGTTTGCTCAGTGGCATAGATGTTTTATCTCCACAAATAACACAAGCCTGGAGGAGCTTCTGCCATGTGGTTGAGTTGCTAATGCTAACATTTAGCTTCTGCTAGCTGAGACGTTTTCTACTTTCCCCTGGACGCTAAAACAACAGCCTTCCCCATCGTGAGCCATGATGGGTGCGGCCAAGCAACCAGAGCAGTCAGGATTTTCAATTCCTAGTGATTTGTTATCTATGTTCTTTCGGAAGCTAATGCAGGAGATAGGTTTAGGAGACTATTTTCATGTTCAATCTGCATGAAAAAAGAGTGACCGATTATAATCAGAAATAATCATTAAAAATTGTTTTTCACTGTTACACCCCATTAAAGGAAATCTGATTCTTTCACAAGATTACCACAGTTAGTTTAAAAAATAAACTTCTTTATCAGCTCAACAGCAAACCGATAATACTTAGAGGGTAGTTGGAGAGCTGTTGGCTTGACCTTACTCAGAAGTCTCTACAGAGTTAATTGCATTTTTTATTTCTTACAATACATTTTAGATTTTGGCAATTATGTCAAATACAATAAAGTGCGTCTACTATCAAATATTCTGTAGAAATGTAATAGTTATGGTGTTATCCGAAACAGAAGAGAAGCAGTTTGATGGGTCAATAAAGCTGAACTCTCCCACATCAGTCCTCTGTCCTCTCCTGTCTTCTCGTGCTCCCCCACTCCATGAGAAGGGTGACAGAGGAACACAGTGAATGAAGTGCCCCAACATAGCGCCGCTGCCCCATTGTGTGTTTTGCATAAAAGAGGTGCCACTCGACTTTTTCCACACTCAATGGGCTGGAGAACCAATGTTTTCTTTCTCTCTCTAGAAAAGCAAAGCTGCAACCAATGGTTTTCAAAACCCTTAATTGCAAGTTAAGAAGGGGGTGCGGGCTTTTTTGGGGGGGGGGGGGGGGGGGGGGGACCGTAACAAATGTGAAGAAGATGGTTTCCCAACTTAAAAATGATTGATGAGCCTTATATTTGAAATTTTTTCTTTAGTGATCCAACTCCAACTATTCTATTTGTACACCCAAATAAATCATAAAATATTGAGCTCATGATATCTGATAGAAAAATATCTGATTAAAAAATTATGATGACCCTTAGTCTTAAATTTTCATCAGTGACTGGGTCTTTGATAGCCTGGTGAACTAGACCAAATTCTTGCTTTGCAAAGTTTGGTCTAGGAATGCTCCACTGGAACCTCTGCAGCCCCAACAGCATTCTGGCTGGCCAATCACAGCTCTTTAGAGGAGTTTCAAGCACATAAAGAGCTGTGATTGGTCCATAATGGTGGGCCAATCATAGTGCTCTATCTGCTTAGTGAACAAATCACAGAGCTTTATCTGCTTTTGTGGGCCAATCAGGGCACTCTATATGCCTGGTGGGTGGGATGATGCAACAGAGTGAAACAAGAGTATGTCACATTCATTGTCCAGTAGCATGCGGAGATCATTTGAAAGACAACGGTAGAACCCGCCCCACAACCGTACAGCCGCAAACGAAACCGTCAGCAAGGTATAGAAAAACCTTATCTGTGTTTAAAAAAGAACCAAAAATGGAATTAGAAGACAAACACAGCAAGAACGTACAAAAGATGTTTAGAGACGTCTGCTGTTGTGTCCTCGGGCAAGACACTTAACCTACCTTGCCTGCTGGTGGTGGTTGGAGGGACCGGTGGCGCCTGTTCTCGGCAGCCTCGCCTCTGTCAGTGCGCCCCAGGGCAGCTGTGGCTACATTGTAGCTCATCACCATCAGTGTGTGAATGGATGAATGATACACTGTAGTGTAAAGCGCTTTGGAGTCCTTACTCTGAGAGGCGCTATACAAGTGTGGGTCATTTATCATTATCGCAGTGCATCCCTACCAGCGTTTAAAAGGATGAATACCATACCATATTTTATTTATGCAGCACATCTAACATGCAGCATGGGGGGCTGCCCAAAGAATGACTGATTATGTTGTAAAGTGCCTTGGGGGGTTAAAGAGCCCTAAGAAAGCGCTACACAAAAACAGGCCGTTATATTCACTCCCAATGTGAGAACTCTTAAGGAAAATGTCTCTGTCAATAATTGTGCGTCTCTCCCTCAGATAAACTAGGCTTTAGTGGAACCAGTGAACATGACTTGGTTAATTAACTCATTCACTGCCAATGACGACTAAAGTCGTCATTTGCATGTTTTTACTGTGTGGGCGTCGGAACGAGCCCCCGCACCGTGAGAACAAACATCTCAGCTCTGAAGCCGATCTCCATCCGCATACGTTACACGTCACGTGATCAGGAAGCAGAAAATCCATGTGTTAGGAGATCGTTTGGGATGGCTGCTGTGAAAAAAAGTGAGGCGCGAACTGGAAAAGCTTCTGCCGATCACAATTCAACAACGAAAGAAAGGATAAAGCTCGAAACTCGCGGATTCTTCCTGATGTAAGAGGTGAGTCTTTGCTTTGTTTTGGTTGTTTTGGCGTCGACATCATCCTAGCGTGCAACGTTCTGTGACTCTTAAAAAAACAGTGAAAACGGTGAGAAACGCTGGCAGCGAATGAGTTAAATTAGAAGTTTCGGTTTTTTAGAGTGCAGTCTCTTCTTTAACACTAGAACTGGTCAGGTTTTTTTTTCCTTGTAATTGTGTTATTTTTGTCTTTTACAACCAAATTATAAAGGAAGGAAAAAAACAGCACAGAGGCATAAAAGACGATTTGATGGTAGAGATAGCATTAGAAAGACTCAGAAACTAAATTTGGGTGTCATTTTTGGTTGAAAAAAATACATTATTTAGCTAATTAGATCAATATCTGGAATTATAAACTTGCAAGGTGATGTGATTAACCTTTAAATGCAGCAGTCAAAATGCCTGCTGAAGGCGGTTCAGTGAGTCTTGTGGCTGCTCTACTGTTAAACAATCTTATTGTGAAGCTTTTAAAAGTATCATGTTTATTAACATTCAAAGGTCTGTGTTCATGGTCTACACAATCATCTCCACTCAGCCACTGGTGCTTTTAAGCAGAATGTCTTTCTGCAGACTTAGAACAGACAGATTACAGAAACAATTTAATGTTTTTATAACCCTGCAAATCCCCTGACAGATGAACATTTTCTTTATCCTGTTTGAGCACCAATCAGAATTGAACAAATATATGGCAGGTGTCTTTGAATCTGGGGATAAAAACATTGAAATTGCTTAAACTCTTTGGTTTGTTTCTTTAATGGTGAGTTTTGGGAAAGACAAAACATTTTGTCAGGTACTTTTAAACATTTCTTTTAGGCACAGCACTGTAAAAGTTCATCTTTATGAAGTCAAGTCAAATATTTCTAATTAATTGTGTTATTTACATTCAGATCTGTAACTGTAAGTGCAATAATGACAAAAGCAAACTTCAGGTGAATCTGGTAAAAGTCAGAATGGTGAAGGTGTTCAGCAGCAGAGTCTGAGAAGATGTGGAACAGCTGGAACTTTCCGGATACTGATAATCCTCCTCCATATAATCATCCTCTGTGTCCCCCTCAGAGACTGAGAATCCGCTACCCGCGGGCGCATCAGCCGAAGCAGAGCACAACGTGCTCATGTTTAACTTTATGAACTCGCAGATGTTTCTTTCTGGGCCGTCGCAAACGCACGTGTCCAGCCGCTGCGCCTTGGGTAAAGAGCGCATGTTGGCTATGATTTTGCGGCAGCTATCAGAACACCTCTGTCCTGCAAAAAGTTTTCGACAGTGAAACAAATACGCCCTCATGGCTGTGCTGCAAGCCATGTCCATTTGGCACTGAATCCGGGCCTCAGTGCAGCCCATGGTGGCCCTGGTCCGCGGCAGGCACGGCTCGATGGCGAGTTTGGTGCTCCTGCACACCGGGTCCGCGGCGCAGTCGCACTCCTCCAGAGCCGGTCCGCTCCGTGTTAGATTAAGCTGAACCAGGGATGAGATGCAGTGGCTGGGACACTTCTTGCGTGCCCCGCTGATGACGGACGCGCAGGCGTGCAGGTATTGATCGTATGCGTAATGGCACTCCGGTTCTCCGTGGCACTTGAAGATGGCTTTCCAACACACCAGGCGCTGGTTCTGGTTCGGAGAGCTGTCACAGAATCCGGTGATTACGATCAACACGTGGCATATCAGAAGCACCGCTCGCTCCGTTTTAATGGCGCGAGTTGTCATTTTATCCAAACGTTATAAACAAAGTGTTGACGTTTGCTCTGATGGTTTCACATCGCGGTAATTGAAGTCAACAAAGCGCCACAATAAAACGCCCTCGTGCTCGTCAGGACTCATCACACCAAAGAGACATGTTCAAGTTTAAACAAAAACATGTTTTCAAACAGTTCCAGTTAGTTCCAGTTCAGAGAGACGAGGAAACGTCAGACGGTCCTACAAGAACTGATGTTTTCACCACGTGATTTGTTTTCTCGGGGGAAGAAATAAACGCTGTAGTTTTTCTCTCTCCGCCACGCAGCCACATCCACCTCGCTCAGCAGCAGTCTGATGCGGGCGGCGCCGAGCAGCGACGGGCTGATGTGGTTCTGAAACAGCAACATCCGATTGGTCCGCTGTCCACCACGCGTCACTGCATCCAGAGACACGTCATCATCTCAGCATCAATGACAGACAGACAGACAGAGTGTGATAGATAGATAGATAGATAGATAGATAGATAGATAGATAGATAGATAGATAGATAGATAGATAGATAGATAGATAGATAGATAATAGATAGATAGATAATAGATAGATAGATAGATAGATAGATAGATAGATAGATGAATGATAGATAGATAGATAGATAGATAGATAGATAGATAGATAGATAGATAGATAGATAGATAGATAGATAGATAGATAGATGATAGATAGATAGATAGATAGATAGATAGATAGATAGATAGATAGATAGATAGATAGATAGATAGATAGATAGATAGATAGATAGATAGATAGATAGATAGATAAATAGATAGCTAGATAGATAGATAGATAGATAGATAGATAGATAGATAGATAGATAGATAGATAGATAAATAGATAGCTAGATAGATAGATAGATAGATAGATAGATATAGATAGATAGATAGATAGATAGATAGATAGATAGATAGATAGATAGATAGATAGATAGATAGATAGATAGATAGATAGATAGATAATAGATAGATAGATAGATAGATAATAGATAGATAGATAGATAGATAGATAGATAGATAGATAGATAGATAGATAGATAATAGATAGATAGATAGATAGATAGATAATAGATAGATAGATAGATAGATAGATAGATAGATAATAGATAGATAGATAGATAGATAATAGATAGATAGATAGATAGAAAGATAGATAATAGATAGATAGATAGATAGATAGATAGATAGATAGATAGATAGTTAGATAAACTGAGTTTGACACCCCTGCTCTAAACTGAGGCTGTTCACGACAGTTCAGACAGATAACATATTGATTATATCTGTTGAATAAAAATGAACCCAAGTATGGCCAAAACTGCCCTCCAAACAGGAGAAAATGTGTATAAATGTGCATTCAAACACAACCATAGCAGAGGAAAAATAAACTGGCTGACTCTTCCCTTTTTTGTAAATACAAACATCATAGCCTATAATCATGTTGTGTCTGAGCAAATTCAGAATAAACGAGTATGCCTGAAATGTCACTGCCAGTGTGTGTGTGTGTGTGTGTGTGTGTGTGTGTGTGTGTGTGTGTGTGTGTGTGTGTGTGTGTGTGTGTGTGTGTGTGTGTGTGTGTGGTTCTGAAGCACTGATTCCATCAGACTAAGCTTAAATGAAAGTGGTTTTGCTTTTAGTGAAAAGAAAGTGTGCATTTCTTCCGACATGCCGAAGCTACATTAATTATTTTACAGTCTCCATATGTGCAAAAAGCATCTCTATCAGTAGTGCTGGGCATCTAGTCTCAAGTCTCACATTTGCTTTTATGTGAGATACTAAAACTTCCAAATGACTCCCTCCTATGAGACCAGCTCAGTCTTGTTTTATTTGAAAAAAAAAATCAAAAGGTACAAAAATCAAAGAATGCCACATCAAGATGTTGGATAAAATAAGGCTTTTGTGTCAGTGTTATGTTAAATCTAGTTAAAAATGTGTTGTTTTTGCTGTGAGTCTTTATAACTGAGTTTTGTGGCAAGGCTGAAACATTCCTGGCCCTAAAACAAGCTTCTCATCATGTTTCTGGTGACAGAAAACACCAGGAGCTCACAGAGGAACACAGTCTATAACGGAATCAGCTAATTGACTCAGATTGTTTCAGTCTTTATTTAAAAATACAAGAAAGTTTCTATAATAGCACACGACAAGAAGGGTTTGTGGATCTAGGGAAGTTTCTGGTGGCTTCTTCAGTGTGGAAATTCCACATTGAGCCTCTTGCTTGTGCAGTCAGTCTTACTTTATGTTTCTCACCATAAAACCTGTAAACTGGAAAAGGAAAACCAGGAACGCGTAAATATCACCATGTTTGGTGGGTTAGGGTTAGGGTGTCACTTGAAGGCTGGGCACCTCATTTGTTGTGTTTCTTGTAGATGGAAATGTACTCCTGTACATCATCAGGGGATCCCATGACCACTGGGGATCTCTGGTGGATGGTGGTGGGCTGGATGTCCAGGATGTTTTGTGACCCGGTGGTGGCCAGACCTCCAGCCTGCTCCATGACAAAGGCCATGGGGTTGCATTCATAAAGCAGCCTCAGCTGAAACGGGAGACAAATCCAAACATCGGAAGAGCAGGTGTGACGTAAATGGTTTCCAGGCAAATCAACCCTGAATATGTTTTATAAAGGTTAATCTAAAAAGTCCTCACCTTGCCTTTTGGACTCTTGACATTAGCAGGGTATAAAAAGATTCCTCCATAAACTAAAGTTCGATGAACATCTGCTACCATTGAGCCAATGTAGCGACTGCCATATGCTGCAGAACCATCCTGGATACGAAAGAATGCAAGAAAACCCAATTTATTTTTGCACAATTTAGACATCGGTACAACAGAAATCACATGAAACCTAAAGAATGTTAGGCTATACCGAGTTTCATTGTCTTTACCTCTGGGAATTTCTTCTTCTGCAGGTACTCTGTTACATCTGGATAAAACTGTTGTGCATATCCCTCGTTCAAACTGTAGATTTTTCCCTTCTTCTTAATTTTCACATCTCGATCCACCAGAATGAACTCCCCGATTGCCTGAAAAAGTAATTGAATCCAATGAAATGAAAGCACGCCACACAGTCTGGTGTTACTTGTAGTTAGTCAGCATTTAGTTTGTTGGTCTTGTTAAATATGAATCTTACTGGGTCCAACATGAAGCAGTTTACTCCCTGGCCAGTGGAAAGGACCATCATGGTGGCACTGCCGTACAGAGCGTAACCAGCTGCTACGATGTTCCTGCCAGGCTGAAGAGCATCCTTCTCAACCGGCTCTCCATCCGTGGTCTGTCAAATGGTTGAAAACACTTTTAGACAAAAAGGAAACCAAGGAGCTTTTGAGGTTCAGAACTATAATTTGGAGTCTGAACCATAACATTAAGTTAACACTCTTCCACTTAAAGAAGAGCAACGGGTTTTTTTCCCCGTCCTTTTGATGAAAAGTGATTAGAACCTACAGATCCAAAAGAATTACTTCACGAGAAATGTTGCATCTGCGGATGATTATTGACTAGATTAAAAGTTTGTCTGCTGGAATCAACTTGTTGTTTCAGAGACTGACCTTCTTGTAGATGGCAAAGATTGTCCCAATGGAGACAAGACAGTCGATGTTAGAAGATCCATCCAGTGGATCGAAGCACACAATGTATTTTCCCTGTGCGGTTGAGCAGATAAGAAATGTTTAATCCCAAATGTTTGTTCATCTAATCTGACAACTCTACTGTGTTGCAGACGTACTCTTCTATCTGGGTCCACGATAATGGCTTTCTCGTCTTCCTCTGACACCAGCACACAGGAGGTGAAGGAGGACTTGATCATGTTGATGACCAGGTCATTGGACAGGACATCCAGCTTCTTCACCTGGTCCCCCGTCACATTGGTGCTTCCGGCAATCCCATAACTTTCCAGAGAGCAAAAGTGAGCAGCATTCAGTTTTAATCTAGCTGTTCAAACCAAAGTCAGTCTAAAAACACAACTGAGTGACGGCCTCAAAAACCTATTGTCACCTTGACCTCTGAACTTTGGGTGGGGGGTGTGCACAGTGTGCAGAGCTTACCTTTGGCTGGGGGCCAGCTAAACCTACATGCTGTTGCAACTAACATGGTTGGCAAGCTACAACGTGTCATCACTAAAACAGGCATAATTCTGTAAGAGTGCCTTAGTCGTGATTAAATATCAAATCCTACTCACAGGTTAGCAATCCCAGCCTTCCTGACAGCGGAGGATATGGCTTTGACAGCTGTGCAGATGGAGTTCAGAAGGGTTGTTAGTTCCCCTGTTCCATGGGCCTTCCTGCCCTCTTCCAGAACAAACCTTGTGAGAGTCACCACGTTGGTGTCGAACGCTCCTCTGTCAGACATTTTGCTGGTGGAGACCTGCTGCTGCAAGTGACTGAGGGGACAGTGTCTGAAAAATGAAAAGTGGACTCTAGACCAGAGATAGGGGATGTCAGAGGGGCGTGCAGCTACGCCAGCCAATCACAAGTGCTTTTCCTCACAGGTAGACCTTGATTTCATCACGTCTCTGACGGTGGGTTTAAAAGAGCAAAGTGCAAAGATAGTAGAAAACTTTTTTGATAAAACTTGCTTTGACTGAGTTTCAAATATTTATTTTTGTTTGTTTTATTGATTTTTGAAAAGTATTTAAAATGAGGAATTTCTGCACAGCTAAACTTTCTTTCTTTTTTTTTTTTTGCTAAACTGGTGGGAAAAATTATCCCAAACAAAAAAATAAAATAAAAAAAAAGAAACACCACATTAGTTGAGCCTTAATATGCCAACTAAGCAAAAGTTATTAGTAAATGATTAGAAAACATTTTGCGCTGGAATTCACTGCTTCAGAACATTTCTTGGTTACCCTTTAAAAGAAAAACTCTACCCTTAAAGTTTGTTGTTCTTGTGTTTTCTTCCTGATTTCTACGAGTTTTCCTGATGAAAAATGTTGCAAGGAAAAGGTAAACAGCCTCTTTCATAGTAAAAGTTGTATTTGAGTCAAAAATGTATCCAGATGCAGGTTAATTACATAGAACACAAACACAAATAATTAATGGAATTATTGGTTTATTGAGGTATTTCACAAATACTGTTTTTGCATTACCAATAACCAGGGGCGTCGGACTGGGGGGGGAGGGGAGGGTACCGTTTACCCAGGGCCCACTGCAGGGAGGGGCCCTGAGACAGCTTTGAATAAAAATGTTTTATTGTTGTTGTTTTTTCCCCCCAACTTACTTAATGTCTTAATAAACTTCCCTTTACCTGGATAAAGAGGTTAAGAAACAAAATTTCGCCTTAAAAATAATAACTGAATAATCTCTGAGGCATCTATCACCTCCTAAAAATGTGCAAAGTGGTTTAGTCCACACCAGCGGCCAGGGGCTGCACGGCCGCATGTACAGCTATGAGACATCGCAGATGCCGACAGCCAGAGCTGGAGGCAGGAGAGTCAGTCAAGTCTTTTCCCAAGAAAGGGAAATCTGGCTTCCAGAAAAGAAAAGAAAAGAAAAGGAGAAGGAGAAAAAGTTAATTGAACAGAAGCAAGTATTGACTAGGTTTTTCAAGACGGAAGGTGAGCAGCAGCAGAACACAGTTTTAGCTGATATTAGCTAGCTCTCAGAAGCTGCATTCATGTTAGGTGTTCAGTGTTAAACGCCTTTAGTTTCACCATCAAGATCAAATATAAATTAATTAGTGTTATCAGTGAAAACACTAATTAATATATATATATTAATCAGAATTATTATCGCGGGCGGCCGCCGCCAATTAATTCGTGGACCTCGCAGTAAAAACAGGTTCACTCTGTGTGGATATTTCAGCTCCTTCCCAGTCATGGACCAGGACAAACTTGGTATCGATGGATTCGTGGTAATCTCAGGAATGTGAAGCTGCCACTGTTTTTCGTATAGCATGATGACACTGGTGTTAGAGGATTGTTATTGACTTGGTTAGATATTTTAAGCCTATTTTAAATTTCTTTATATTTGATCTTGAAAACGGACAATCTTATAATTTGGCTGATAATGCAGGGATTATAAAATTTAGAGTACATTACATTCACAGAGAGAACCTGGTTTATTTCATGTCATATGTATTTAATATATCAATATACCGGTATATCAGCAAAGCTTAACATCATGAACCATGACAGACATGACTGAAGAGCAGATGAAGATATCGTGCCAGGCACTGATGAGAAAATATTACAAGGATCTCACAGCTGAATTTGAGAATGAGATGCTACACCTGAGAACAATATATGGTGCCACATTTCCACACATTCGGTCTCCCCTTGAGCTGCTTAATGCCATACAGGATGCAATTACAGAGCATTTCTGGAGAAGTTTGTATTGGACTGAGGATATTTTGCACACTACCTGTGACTGTTGCTGGGGGTGAACGGGCTTTTAGCAAACTGAAACTGGTGAAAAATTATTTGAGATCAACAATGTCCCAGGATAGACTGAACAGCCTAGCTCTTCTTTCTATTGAAAGCCAATTAGCCAAAGGATTGGACTTTAAAGATCTCATAAGTGATTTTGCTAACATGAAGACCCGTCAGTGGGCATTTACTGGAAAATAAATTCCAGGATTTTTGTTTGAACACATTGTTGGCAAATAAAAATTATATGTGAAGTCTGGGCATTTCACTTTTATTATGTTGGCATTTGTATTTGCTCAATATAGAGGTTAAACTAAGATCATATTTATTATCTTGTCTTATAGCATGACAAAAAATGTGTAAGAGAGATATTAAGTAATTGAGCATGGGGGCCCACCTAGAAGACTTGTACCTAGGGCCCAGAATTTGGTGCTACGCCCCTGCCAATAACTAATGTGTGGCTGATGTCATCCGGTTAATGACATCAGTGGACTTCCAAATTGAATAATTTCACATCAAATCAAATATTCAACACAGCTTGACAAACACCAATATGACTGAAATGAAATTACATATTCTTTTTATCAATAACAAGTGTTTTTCCACAGTAAAAAACTGCTATTTTTCAACTTTGAATAATGATGCTTGTACTTCTACAACGTGGCCACATGATGTCCTTATTTCACTTTCTGCTGTATTTTATGTGAAACCATGAGAATGAATTCAATTCCATCTACAATTTTCAAAGCAAAAATAAATTTGTCTTTTGAAAAATATTTCTAATGGGAAAAAAAGACATGATTACAATGTTTACAAATGCTTGAATTTTACAGATCACATTGCATTAATTTTGCAAAACTTGAACACTCTTAAAAGTTTGGGAAGTTGTCAAAATACATAAAGTTACTGGACATAAAAGTTACGAATGAAAAACACAAAAGCCCTGTAATTGTACAGAAACAAGTGGTCAGGTTTTAACTGTTTGATTTCACTTTAGACTTTTATTATTGATGTTCAACTTTTAATTTGTAGTAGTCTTTCAAACTGACCCCACACATATTTGGACAGTGCTCTGACCAATCAGAGCAATGAGCCACATAACACACACTACAGAAACATGGGGAAGTCTGCCATGGCACATAGAAGAAGCAAATACATCCTTCAAAATAAAGGACTTAAGTGCTTCTATCGGCTCAAAGAAAAGTCGTCATCAAACTCATCCAAACTTGATGCTTAAAGTGATAGCGCTATCCCACAACTAACGCCAACTTTTTTCTTTGTCGCAGCTCTGATGCTAAGCATTTAAAAGGTTTCTCTACAAATAAAGTGGTGGGACTGCCCATGCCTAAAACAGCTCTTGCCGATGGTAGACCTGCTGAGGCTGCAGAACGAAATATTTTGCTACTATTACGGTTAGTTTAGATTATTAGCTTATGCCTGAATGGCTTTTTACAAGAATATTCTCTCAGCTGTTGACAACTTTAGGTGCTTTAAGGATTCTCGTTTATCTTTTTTAACCTAGCTTGACTTTGACTTTCTCCACAGAAATCACAAGCAAAGCTCCTGTGTGGACTCTCATATGAGTGTTTAAATTTGTCTTTGGTCTGAATCTTTGTCCACAGATGTCACAAACAAATGGTTTGTGACATCTGTGGACTGTCATATGTCTCTTTAAGCTTGACTTTTGGGTAAATCTTTGTCCACAGATGTCACAAATAAATGGTTAATGTCCTGTGTGGACTGTCATGTGACTGGTTAAACTTGCCCTTTGGGTAAATCTTTGTCCAGAGAGCTCACAAGCAAACGGTTTATGTCTTGTGTGGACTGTCATGTGTCTGTCAATATTTTCCTTTCGGGTAAATCTTTGTCCACAGAGTTCATAGGTGAAAGATTTCTGTCCTGTGTGGACTATCGTGTCTGTTAACACTTGTCTTTTGCCAAAATCTTTGTCCACAAACATCACAAGCAAAAGGTTTCTGTCCTGTGTGAACGTTCCTGTAAGTGTTTTTATGTCCCTTTCGGACAAATCTTTGTCTACAGAGATCATGGGCAAAAGCTTTCTGTCCAGTGTGGACTGTCATGTGTCTGTTTAAATTTGACTTGAGGCTAAGGCCCTGTCCACATGTAGCCGGGGATCTGCCAAAACAAAGATATTTTTCTACGTTTTGGCCTGTCATCCACACGAAAACGGAGTTTTTTCACACAAAAAAGGATCTTTTTTGAAACTCCAGCCAAGGTGAAGATCTGCGTTTTCTCCGTTTTGGGTGTCTGCGTGTGGACAGACAAAACCGGAGTTTTAAGGTCCGCAACGTCACTTTCCGCGACAAAAAAAAATGCTGACATCACGTGTGCGACCTGTGTTTACACTAGCCGACAGCATGGATGCCCTCAGAGCTGCGCTCGCTTTATCAATTGTCCAAGCGCTTTTTGCTTGTTTGTTTTTGCAAGCGGAATTACTGCTCCTTGCGGAAGACCACAGACGAAGGACGAGGTTAAGAACGGGGGAAGTACTGCCGCCTACAGGTCTGGCATGTCCTTAACAACGTATTTATCCGGGTACGTGTGGACAGAGTTTTTTTTTTTAAATGAGATGGTGTGGATTCAAGTTTTTGGAGGGGCAGATATTCGTTTTTTTTTAAAACCCGGCTACGTGTGGACTAGGCCTAAATCTTTTTCCACAGAGCTCACAAGCAAAATGCTGCTGTCCAGTGTGGACTCTCATATGTGTGATTAAACCTTTACCACTGTCATCACAACCATATGACTTTAATTCTCTCTGGACTGTCCTAAAAGAGTCTACATTTCCATCTTCTTCATCCTCACTGATTTCGGTCTCTGAAGAGTTAGCGTAGTTTTGACAAGGATTTAGATCTGGATTGCTCGAACTTTTTGCTTCTTCACAATGCTCTCTACCACTTCCTACTTTCATCTGGTCAGTGAAGTCCCTGGTTAGAAGATTTCTGTTTTTGGTTTGGTGCTGATCAAACTGTGGAACTTTACCTTTATCCCCCTCCTTCATGTTGGGGGGCTCCATGTTGTTCTGGTTTACACCAAACCTCAATTCTTGAGAATCTGCATATTTAATAAACACCATCTGCTGAACACCTACAGAGGACAGTGAAACAAATAGTTCGTGACATTGTTGATCTTACAGTCACACAAACAAGAAGGCCAGAAACCACAAAAATGCATGCGGAAATTAAAAAATGGATTTAATTAACTTGAAGTGTAAAAGAAGTATAATAATACAGAGCCGCTCCATGTTTGATGTAAACCCACGGATTGACTATATTGGTGCCTTATAGCTGCTGCTTAAAGAGGCGACTTACTGAAGCGGGTAATAGTAGCATATTGTGCTTCACTTCCATGTTGGGTCTGTTTATTCCGCGGGGCTCTAGAGGCAGCCAGCAGGTGCCGGTGACCCAAGATGAACCGAAGAAAAATGAAAACACTCTCCTGTTGATAAATAAAATAGGCATTGAAATATATTTCTCAAAATCGCTCATTTTAAATATTGTATTATTAAGGATAGGCAATGAAAACATGTTGTATAAAAATACTACAACTATATATATATATATATATATATATACATATTTTTATGTCGGTGAAGGACTTCCTCATAGCTTCAAACCAACTTGTTTTTTATTGCAACTGAAATTGTGCATCTAACATTCTTTTGCACAAATTCTTCATTTTTAAACTTGCCCCATTATTGAAATGAAACACAGAAAGGTATAATTATTTCTGGTTATTGAAAAGCAAAGATTCCTAGCTTCTGATTCGAAAATAAACTTTTGCTATTAAATTTAATTACCTTAAATTAAACATTAATCTTTGGATTAATATCAGACCAAACAGGTTGGTGTATGAACTTCAATCGATGACATAGATTATTCTGCTTGGTCATTCTCAGAATTAACAACTGATAGCAAACAGTGTTGATGGGACATTGTAGAAAGAAGCACAAAGTTATATACCTATATGCATACATACACTTGTTCCCTTTTTACCTTTCACCCCGCCAACCCCCCTCCCCTCACGCATTTATGAACAGATCTACATAAGTTAATCATTTCATTTTTTATCTCTTTTTTGAAAGTCAATAGTATTACGTCCCTCTGCTTGCTAGGAGTGATGTTGTTGAGGGAGCAATAAGGTGTGAGTGTGGGAGGAATAATAACAACGTGTAAGTGTCCAAAAGAAAGGATTTTATTAAAAAAAACACAGGAGTTCACGGATAAAATGTCTCACAAAAGGAGCCAAGCCAAAGGGGCTGGAAAGAGGGAAACTAATTAAATGAAATATTCTTATTTATAATTCTAAATAGCACACAAGAGTCGTCCTGAAAAGCAGCGACGCTCGGGCAAAGCCAAAATCGAAGTCAAGGGCCGGTCTGAGGTCAATCCAAAAGTCAATCCAAATCTAGAATATGCTAACGAACGAAGTTAAACACAAGCGCACCACGAGGAGACGCGAAAAGACTGAACACCTCAGTGTCCACACTTCACTGTACCTTCTCGCTGAATGAGGGCAAGAGGGCAGCTTTTAACAGCTGCTCAGGAGATTGTCAAATTACCCACAGCTGGGCACCAGGAGACAGACGAGGCAGATGCCATTGAGGCCATCCTGTGGCCGAAAAGGGGCACTGCACGTAGCAATAGTTTTTGCATTCTTGATTTCAGTATTTAATTTATTCCACATTTTTACTCCATATATGGACACACAATGTTCCTTTATGAGAATCCTATGTCTAGGTATATTAAATAATCCATGTCCTTTTAAATCATATTTACTATGTCTTTTTGTAAATGTTTTAATTAAACCTGCAGGTGTACCCTTTGTTTGCATTATACATAAATTTTAAAATATTGTAGTCCACCAGACATGGACGTAATTTTCACTTAAGAAGTGGGGGGACACGGGTGTGTGTGGGGGGGGGAGGGGGGGGGGGGATCTTTACAGTATGCTCTAATGGGAAACAGGCTTTTCCACTTGGTCCTAGAGCTCAACCAGTGTCAATTTAATATAGTGTAATATTGTTTTTGGATGGTAAAATGTGCAGGAGTCAAAACTTGACTTTGGAAAAAGTGTGTGTGTGTGTGTGTCCCCTGCCCCCCCCCCCCCCCCCCCCCCCCCCACACACACACACACAAATTACATCCATGCCAACAGATCACAGAATTTTAGTGTTTTTAATTTTATAAATAATGGGTAGTTGCTCCTTGTGATTATTCTTATTGCTTTTTTCTGTAAGATGAAAATGGAATTTGTGTAAGTTTTATATGTTGTTCCCCAGATTTCAATGCAGTAGTTCAGGTACGGTATGATCAGTGAGTTATATAACAAATATAGGGAATTATTATCAAGTAACCGTTTTGCTCAATGTAACAGTGCAATAGTTTTAGATATTTTAGTTTTGACACTGTTTATATGTAGTTTCCAAGACATTTTTTCATCAATGATGACTCTCAGATACCTCACTTCTTTAACTGTTTTAATATTAATCTCACCTATATTTAATAAAATTTCATCATTTGAATATGTATTACTAAATATAAAACATGATTTATCACTGTTTAATGATAGTTTGTTCCCAATCAAACCATAGTGTAATTTTTTTCATCTCTGTATCAAATCTATCATCTGCTCAACATTATCTCCTGAATAGTAAAAAGTTGTATCATCTGCAAATAAGGTGCATTTTAATATATTGGATACCTCAACAATGTCATTTATATAAAAGACTAATCATTTCGGGCCCAATACCAACCCTTGTGGTACACCACAAGTAATGTTATTTATATGTGATTGTGTTGTTTATTTGAACATACAGTGCCTATCAGTTAGATAACTTATTATCCATTTTAGGGCCAACCCTGTGATGCCATATTTCCTAAGTTTGTTAATAAGAATTTTATGATCCACTGTATCGAATGCTTTTTTTTAATCAATAAAGATATTTATGAGATAAGTTTTTTTGTCAGTAGCTACTGATATTTCTTCTGCTAATTCCATTAATGCCATGGATGTTGAATGATTTGTTCTAAAACCTTACTGTCATTTAATATCTCTTCTTTCATCAGGAATCGGTCCAACCTAGCAATATATAATTTTTCTAGTATTTTTGAGAATTGTGACAAGATATTGGTCTATTGGAAAAGATATTTGTCTCCACTTTAATGAAGTGGTGTGACTTTTGTCATTTTCATCCTGTTAGGAAATGTCCCTGTTGCAAAAGATAAATGTCATATTTAAGTGAATGGATAAATAATACTAAAGTTAAAGTCCCATTAGATGTCACACACACTGATGTGTGTGCGAAATTTGTTCTCCACATTTGACCCATCCCCTGGGGGAGCGGTGAGCTGCAGACACAGCCGCGCTCAGGAACCATTTGGTGGTTTAACCCCCCCAATCCAAACCCTTAATGCTGAGTGTCCGGCAGGGAAGCATTGGGTCTCATTTTTAAAAATTATTACTGATTTCTTATTCTTTTGCATGTTTGTCACACAAAATGTGTCTGATCATCAAACACATTTAACCATTAGTCAAAGATAACACAAGTAAACACAAAATGCAGTTTTGAAATGATGGTTTTTATTATTTAGGGAGAGAACAAAATCCAAACCTACATTGCCCTGTGTGAAAAAGTAATTGCCCCCCTTGTTATAAAAATAACCCAACTATGGTGTTTCACACCTGAGTTAAATTTTATGGATGTCTCAATCAGTAAAGGAGATGTCCATACAGTGAGTAGGAATGGTTTCCCAAAATGGTGGTCAGCTTCACCAACATCCTCCTTTCACACATGTCCTCAACAGAATCAGGCTAGTTTTCTTAGCTTGTTCAGTCTCTTCCTATCTCAGCCAGAGCTGTCTGCACCCAACAGTATTATCATTATTTTTATATACCGTAATTATGTCTGTTTAATTATAATTTTTACATTGTGCACAGTAGTACAACGACAAATGTTGAAAAGCAGACCTATACCTAAGATCGGTCATATAAGACATTTTGAGAGAAGTAGCTGGAGAGTTGGATGTATAATTGTGCACGGTAAGAAAAAGTTGTGTCATTAAAAGAGTAAAAACCAAAATGATATTTTCCGATATTATATTTTAATGACAATATGGGCCAATATTAAAGGGGGACAGATAACATCGGACATCCCTATTAAACCGGCCATTTTTTATTGTTTCTGTTTGCTAGTTATGCTTTTTTTGTTTGTTTGTTTGTTTTGTTTAAACCCCAAATGATTCTAAACCTTTGGGAAGTTTTGGGCATCTTTAATCTTCAACTGTTAATATTTTCCTAAAAGAGCAAGTTTTCATTTCATATTTTAATTCACACAAACCTGGAACCACTGACTAAGCAAATGAAGAGGTCTGTAGTTATATTTAAGTAAATCACAAAGTATAAACCACTGGTAAGACACATTTCTACACTACAAAAACTAACTACAACTCTTGAAACTGTACAAACAGAATCTTGGTGGTGTGGTTGCTTCACTTTGAATTGCAAGATTAATAGAAAGAAAGAAACCCTTCTCTTATATAGCACCTCTCAAGATAAAAATACCTCTTTGATACCAAAGGCAGAATAGCTGAAGCTGAGCTTTGAAATGCTTTCGTCTTTACTGCGTTGTCAGTGGAAAACAGCGTTGATTTTTACCAAGAAAAAGTAAGGCAAGATGTTTGAAAAGCAGGACATGATGCTGTTTTAATGCACTGTTGAGTATGTCTGTTTGTTCTGATATCCAGTGTAATAATGGACTCTCTAGTGTAGAGGTACAAGACTGATATGTAAACACTACAAGAGGAACCTTGTATTTGATTGACAGCTTAGGTTACTCTGTGGATTCTCATATGTCTGCCTAAACTTGTCATGTGCCTGAATCTTTCTCCACAAATATCACAAGCAAAAGGTTTCTGCCCTGTGTGGACTGTCATATGTGTGTTCAAATTTCTCTTTTCGCTAAATCTTTGTCCACAGAGGTCACATGCAAATGGTTTCTGTTCTGTGTGGACTGCCATGTGTCTTTTTAAATTTCTCTTTTGGCTAAATCTTTGTTTACAGAGCTTACAGGCAAAAGGTTTCTGTCCTGTATGGACTAACACATGACTGTTTAAACTCGTCTTTCGGGTAAATCTTTGTTTACAGAGATCACAAGCAAAAGGTTTCTGTTCTTTGTGGACTATCATGTGTATGTTTAAATTTCTCTTTTTGCTAAATCTTTTTCCGCACAGCTCACAAGGAAAAGGTTTCTGTCCTGCGTGAACTGTCATATGACTATTTAAACTTTTTTTATGACAAAATCTTTGTCCACAGAGATGACAGGCAAATGCATTTTGACCTGTGTGGACTTTCATGTGGGCATTTAAATTTTTCTTTTGACTAAATATTGTTCCACAGTGTTCACAAGCAAAAGGGTTCTGTCCTGTGTGGACTGTCATGTGACTGTTTAAACTTTTCTTACAAGAAAATCTTTGTCCACAGATATCACATGTAAACGATTCTTGTTCCGTGTGAACTGCCATGTGACTGTTTAAACGTTTCTTATGGGAAAATCCTTGTCCACAGATCTCACACGAAAAAGGGTTCTGTCCTGTGTGGACTGTGATGTGCGAGTTTAAATTCTTCTTTTGTCTAAATCTTTGTCCACAGAAATCACAAGCAAAAGGTTTAAGTCCAGTGTGGACTGTCATGTGATCATTTAAACTTGTCTTTCGGGTAAATCTTTGTTCACAAAGATTACAAGCAAAAGGTTTTTGTCCTGTATGGACTGCCGTGTGTCTGTTTAAACTTGTCTTCTGACTAAATCTTTGTCCACAGACCTTACATGCAAAAGGTTTCTGTCCTGTGTGGACTCTCATATGTCTGTATAAATTAGATCTTTTGCTAAATCCTTCACCACAGTCATTACAAGTAAATGATTTTTGTTTTGCTTCTACTTTCCCAGTTGAATCTAAATTGTTGTCAGAATTATTCCCATCCTGGTTATCTTCATCCTCACTCACTTCAGTCTCTGAAGAGCAGGAATCGTCTGCAGTAGGATTTTGATATGGATTCCTGGTATTACCTGCTCCTCCACAATCCTCTCTACCACTTATTGCTTTCATCTGGTCGGTGGAGCTGCTGGTTAGAAGATCTCTGTCTTTAGTTTGGTGCTCATCACACTGGGACAACAGAACTTTACCTATATCTTTCTCACATGCACAAGAAACGTCTGTGAATGGCATTCTGGTGGCATTAGTCTCCTCATTAATAAGCTGCTGCTCCTCATCCTCCATCTTGAGGTGCTCCTGGTCCCTCGAGTTTACGCCACACCTCAATTGTTCAGATGCTGATTCTTTAAATATCATCATCTGTTGAGTATCTGCAGGGAAAACTGAAACACAGACAGTAAATGACAATCTTACAAGAATGATGGCCAAAGTATCTGTCAAAAATTGAGAGATATCTCAGCTAACAACACGTTATACGCCAGAGTGTTTTCACCAAAACAACACCTAAACCCCCCAATAGTAGAGGTTTATGAACCTGCTAGAGAGGACAGAGTACTGCTTCTGGGTCCCCCATGTTCCCTGAGCCCAGTGAAAGAGGACCTGTTTGCCCACCCTCAGCCCCACTGGCAGGTCTGCTGGTATGTCTCTGACTATAGGACTCATCACATGTATTCTTACACATCAAGTTGATCATGTGCCTATCAAACTTACAGAAAATGTGTTTTTCTGCCAAAAGGTATTACATTTTTTGGTGGTACTCATTATCAAAGTGAGCCTATCCCCAGTGGTTAACCGTTTATTGTTTCTCTGGATTGTTGTTAACTAGGGATGGGTACCTTTGACATTTGAATCAATACGGTACTAATTCCCGGTACCTAGGAATCGATACCGGTACTTAACGGTACCAATTTTCGATACTTTTGAGTGTTTATTATTTTTAATTCTCTTTTATAATTAAATATATTTTTTCTCAGTATATAACCATATTTGATAAATATCACGATAAATAACATACAACTGTTTGTATTTTAACATCGTCCTTGTAGTTTTATAAGCTGATAATTAAACTGAAGCAAACATCTTTACTGTGAATTAAATTTACTGTGTATCTTCATTCCTTTTGACGTCCTTTTTCATTTGATTTTTCCTAATGGGAAGTTAGAATTTCCGAGGAGAAAGCGAACGCACCATTAGATGATAACAATGGTGGCATAGGAAGCTAACATATCAAGCTAACGTTATCTTAAACAGTTTATTTAACTGCTGGAGCAGATTAAAATGATGATGCCTCACACTTAGATCGTTGTCACTGGTTTCATCTTCACCCAATCACCCGCCACATTTAGTAAAGTGAAGCCAAACTTTAGAGCGCGTTCATGTTCTTCTAGTCGGAATTTCGGAGTTCCGAGGAGAAAGCGAACGCACCATTAGTGAAACGGAAGCTAACATATCAAGCTAACGTTATCTTAAACATTTTATTTACCTACCGGAGCAGATTAAGATGAGGATGTCTCACTTAGATTGTTGTCGCTGGTTTCATCTTCACCCAGTTACCCATCATATTTAGTGAAGTGGACCCAAGCTTTAGCGTTCGTTCTTTCTACCATGCTGCTCTGTTTACAACTGGCTCGCAGCGACCGATGACATGCGCAGCTGTCTAGGCAAGTTCTCGTTGTGAAGGACGGGTACCGAAACGAGGCACCGTTTGAAATGACGTGAATCGGTGCTCGGTCGGTATTGTGGAATTCGGTCGGTACCGTAAAAAGTACCGAATTCGGTACCCATCCCTATTAACAGATGGGTTGCCAACCACCCCACACCCACAGGTAACGGTTACAGGGGGCTGCAGTGGTCAGAAAGCTTCATGTGAAGCCTGAACTGCTGCTCTTTGTTAAACGTACTTTCAAAATATTGACATTGATAAAAAGCCATCCAAACTCCCTTTCTAAAGTGAAGATAATGTGCATGATAGTTACTGTAACTACAGAACGTTACCTTTATCTTCCTCATACTGACAAGAAACCACTCTGGGTGGCAGCCTGGTGGCATTAGGCTGCCCTATCCCCATAAGCTCCTCCTCCTCTTCCTTCATGCTGAGGGGCACCAGGTCCTTCGGGTTCACACCATGCCTTAAGTCCTCAGATGCTGGTTCTTCAACCAACATCATCTGTTCAGGGAAAACTGAAAGTTAAGGACAATGTTAACCTTAAAGTCGCACAGGAAATTTTCACAACGCATCACTTTTTCCACGTTTTGTTATTTTACCGCCATTTTTACAAAAAAGGATTTATTTTGCCCTCAAAATTCTACACACAACACCCCATAATGAACACAACAAAACTGTTTTTCTGAGGCTTGTGTAAATATATTAAAGGAGTGATGATTCACTCGTTTAATTAATACATTTGCAGTAGGAGTCTAATTTCCTGATATTTGGACTTTTTGCTCCAGCAACACGACTCTACCACTGACTTGCAACATGGATGTTTAACTTCGACAAATAACAGAAGCTTGGTGGAGCTTCTGTCATGTGGTGGTGTTGCTAATGCTAACAGTTAGCTTAAACTAACCGAGGCATCCTCTGCTGATTCACGGATGTTAAACCAACAACAGCCTTCCTCGTCGTGAGTCAAGATCAACGTATGGAGCCTGGGTCAAAAGCCACCATCCATCTCGATTGACTGAGGGTATGAAGAACGGGTGCGTGCATGCGCACACACACACACACACACACACACACACAAAGTAGTAGTAGGCTGGAGGCGAAGCAATTTTTCACAGGACAAATTTGAATTAGAAAATCTCTGACCTGTTTTCACAAACAGTTCTTATTCTAACAAAAAATAACGTTGTGTAAATTTAAACTAGATCATTTGAACTCCAAGTTGGCGTGTCAGATGAGGGCTTTTGGGGAGCTCATCTCTCTAAAAGAGGAGCCGGACTCCCCTTAGCTCCCTTATACTACAAACCCTGAATTTTATCTGTTTAGGAATAAAACGGTAACATAACAAACTGTGGAATAAGCGATGATGAACTGTGAATACTGTCTGGACCCACAGCTAAACCAATTTTCAAAAGTCAGGAAATTGAGCATGATTGCTTCTGTGACAACAGATCTTTACCTTTATCTTCTTCACATGGACAAGAAACTACGATTAATAATATCCTGGTTGCATCAGTCTCATCCAACCCAATAAGCTGCTCCTCCTCTTCCTCCTTCATGCTGACAGACTCTAGGTCCTTAGGGTTCACACCAGGCTTCATTTCCTCAGATGCTGGTTCTTTAATGAACATCATCTGATGATCATCTACAGGGAACACTGTAAAACAGAAGGTTAAGGACAATGTTAACCTTAAAGGCTGCTCCAGACCTGTATGTATTCAAACACAACAAATAGTGCAAAAAGATTGTGATAAATCAGAATGAAAGAACAAAAGATACAAATGAGTTTGCTAAATTGACACAAGTAAGTAACAATAAGTGCTTAACAATGTTCTCACTTGGATGGGTTCCAGCAGGGTGTCTCTCATGTACCTAACTGTATTCAACGTGGTAATCATCACACATTCACAAGGATTCAGTCTGATCCTTCTCCATCCATCTTTCTGTGCCCCCTGCTCTGTGTCCACCACTGGGGGAGCATTCAGTCACTCAGTCCTTCCCCTCTGGAATTCTCTCCGTCCCCACATCCAAACCATCGTCTCTCCTCCACTATTTAGGGCACTACTCTCTCTTTATGACACTCAGGTCATCTGTTTCCATTGTTTTGATAAATTATGTTTTTAGAAATGTTATTATTGCTGTTTTTGTTTGTTTGTGTTATAAATGAAATGAAATTATAGATTATGGTGAAAAGGTAAATGGCTTGTATTGGATGTAGAACCTTCTAATGTCCTGGAACCCCCCAAGGTGCTTTACAACACAACCATTCACACCCTGGTGATGATGAGCTATGATGTAGCCACAGCTGCCTTGAGGAACACTGACAGAGGCGAGTCTCGGGCAAGGTGTCTTGACCAAGTACACAACGACAGTGACTTCTGAGAAGTCTGTTAAACTGTTAATGTCAATTCAATTCAAGTTTATTTATATAGCGCCAAATCACAGCAAGAGTCGTCTCAAGGCACTTCACATAGTTAACATTCTAATCCTCATACTAACCAAGCATTTAGCAACAGTAGAGAGGAAAACTCCATTTTAACAGGAAGAAACCTCCAGAGGATCCTGGCTCAGTATAAGCAGCCATCCACCACAACTCACTGGGGATGGAGAAGACAGAGCAAAAACACACACACACACACACACACACACACACACACACACACACACACACACACACTTCAGTGTTTCCCTTACATAGGCATAGCCGTGGTGGCCTGCCACGGCTGAACTCCCAGTGCCACACCTACAAGATCCCAAGTTTTATAGATTTTTTTTTTGCGCCGTTTCCCGAAGAAGCAACGGGAACTACTCTGTTGTTGTTTGTGATCACAGCCGGCAGGCAGCAAGGAGGAGGAGGCAGGGCAGGGTGGTTACAGCTAGGGATGAGCCAGATACTCGAGTATCCGGTACGGATAAAGCATTTTTGACGAATACGAGCATAAAATGAGTAAAACTCGTAAATATCTGTAATCGTGCTGAAGGAAAATCCTCATTGGGTAACTGACTGTCTTCACGCTCTGTGATTGGCCAGTCACATAGAGCGCCCTCCCCTCCCTACACACAAAACTCAGCAGCCGGTGTCGGTACAGGATCTGCTCGGGGTCCTTCGACTGCCAATGACATCAGAGTAGTTGATTGGCTGAACATGAAGCTTACAGAAGTGACGTTATCACGTTATGATTTTGATTGGTCAGAACTAATTTGCGGTCGTAGTCTAAGTGGTTGTAGTCCTGTAGTCCAAAAATCAACACTTTTTGGAGAAAATATGTTTGAATTTCTAAAGGAAATGTAAAATATAAGCAAGTGATATACGGTGACCCTCAAAAGCTCTTGATGTTGATGAAATGGGGCAAAATAAAATATAAGAACTTTACTGAAAAACACCAAGCAATATTTTGAGTCAAAGAATGTATTTAGATAACAACTAAGGAAATATACAGACAAAGTCTACATTAATACAAACAGATGTGGCTTCACATATAAGAACTGTTCTATTGTTTGTCAGTCTGACGTTGGTTTTATGCAGTTTCACATTCTTTACAAAACAAAGATAATATGGTGTTTTATTAACAAATTACAATTATAAAGAAAACATTTAGGTGTTAACAAACAAGAATGTATTAACAAAACTGCTGATGTCTTTCCAAAACGTGTGTGTGAAAGCCGAGTAGATTTGCAGTCATGTGACGTCATCGGCAGTCGAAGGACCCCGAGCCGATCCTGCACCCGAGCAGATCCTGTACCGACACCGGGAGCTCCGGCCGGCCGGCCCATCCACGCAGACACAGTAACGGATCTCTCTGTGTTTGCTTCACTGTTGCTGACGTTTCTTCAGTGCTCCCTAGGTTTTCTTCAGCTCGCCTCTTTTTCGGCTGAATATTTAAAGTTACTTTTTTCGTAACGTAAGTGGTGTATTTGACAAGACAGAGCTGAAAACGGCTCGTGCATGCGTCGGTCACTGCCTCCGCTCCGGTATTTTTTTTTTATTACTTTAACTCTCTCTCCCTCTCTCTCTCTCACACACACACACCTCAATCAACATTGTTTTGTTTAACTGTGTGTGGGAAAAATTCCAACAACATTATGAAAAAATCTGTTTAATCAAAATGGTTCTAATATTTCATATTTCCTAGTTCCTACTGCATGAGTTCAGATGTATTAATTCATGCACTTAAACATTAATGTTCTGATCTTATTGAAAAACTTGTTCTGTAATAGTTCCTTTACTATTGTGATCAAAAACATTTAATCTCAATTCTGAGGCTGCTCTGTAAATGGTTTTCAAATAAACAATACACATATCAACTTCTGATCAATCCATATCAATTTCATATTTAAAATAATGTATTGATGTAAACCACACTCACTAATTTCCAAATAATAAATAAGAGGTGCATTCATCTGTGTATCTCCTTTGATCCGCATTAGTGATATTCTCAGCACCAGAACAGTGAAGCAAAGAAACAGATTCCAGAGTTTATGTTAGTAATTTTATTTATTAGGTGCATCTGACCTGTTCTATTCTTCTCTGAAATGAGATCAAATCAGTGCTTCTATGAGTTGTCTCCTCTCTATGCACTAGAAATATTTACTTTATTATAATGTTCACTGTAATGCATCTTGATGTTCTTAACAAATAAATTAAGTCAAAGATATTAGTCAATAATGCCAATTTTGTAAATTTGTTTTTCAGTCATTTTCATACTAGCTTAAAAATACTTCAGTAAGTCTACTAAGCAGGGGTGTAGAACGTTTTTAATAGGGCCAGCCCAGTAATGATCTTGGACCAAAATAAAGGGGGCAGAAGGAGATGTTTTTCCAGACGCCAAGAAAAATTAAATGCCCCCCCAATGCAAAGTGTGTCACTGAGAGTTTAAAACAAAAATTATTTTTGTGCAAATATTGGTGTATTCACCTTTAATACTAGTTATTAAAATGCAGCAGTTGCTGGATTGGTGCAGTTCAAAATAAGAGTGCGTCTAATAAAACAATATTAACATAAAGGTGAGACGTGTCATAATCCCCCCCCCCCCCCCCCCCCCACACACACACACACACCCACCACCCACCACCGCCCACCACCACAGCTGGAAAAATTCCTACGAGAAACCTAATATTAATGTCGATGGGGGAAACACTGAACTTTATTGTATTTATCCTAGTGAATCTATAGTTAAACAGGTAAACTAGTAGTAGCACATTTAATGTCAACGAAAGTAAAATGTTAATTTCAGGAGAGGGAGTATGGTAAATGTCAGTTTAAATTTGAGCCTTGTTCCCCAGGACCTCAGATCTGCCCCAACCCTAGTGTTGTTTAAAACAAAACTAAAAACCCTAATGTACTCATCAGCCTTTAAATGAATTGTTTCTTATCATGCGTCATCTCCGCTGTAATCTGAGCTGTAACTTTGTCTTCCCCTTTAGCTCTAAACTGTAATTCCATTTGTGTGTATTTTAATTTGTCTTTGTATGTGTTTTCATATCATGTCCTGATAATTGTAAAGCACATTGATTTGCCTCTGTGTTTGAAATGTGCTCTTTAAATAAAGCTGTCTTGCCTTGCCTTGCCAATTAAATTTATTTGAGTCTCTGAACGTCAAAGGTTTTTTTGTTTGTTTAATTTAATAATGGAAGTGACGCTGCGCATATGGCTCACACATTTTTTAACAAACGTTAAATAAAATTGTAGCAATATGTTTGATAAAAATGAAGTGAAAAAGTTTTCATTGGAAGTGTTTTGATCAGGTGGTAGTAGTGTAACTTTGGTGGATGCAAACTGCCGCTATCGGCACAGGATCGGCTCGGGTGCAAGACAGGTGACCGGTGTCGAAGATGAACGTACGTGTTTTGATCAGGCATCAATGCAGCCACCTACAACCAAACATCAACATGTCATGCATAAATTCGCTAGCCTGGATATTTGAGATTGGTGTCGCTGCAGACAGCCATATATTATCGGGATATTTAGACAATTTATGGGATGGCTTGGTTGGTTATCGATTCAAATGAACTGATTTAGACACAAGTCTATGAAACTCCGTTGCCAGTTAGCATGCTAAGCTACACACACACACGAGAAGAAGGTAAACTAGTTGGCAACCTGAAATCTGTAGGAAGGATTAACACCTACAAACCTGAAACGTTCACGTATTCCTTTCCATTAAACGCCAAGGTTCATCATCGGTGTCTGCGGCTGATGTTTCCAAGTTTCTCCGCTTTTTTATTTCCACGAGAGAAAACAAAAACGGAAGTTCCGTCTTGTTTTTCTTCCGCCAAGAAACACAAGCTGAATGGAAAATTTTTTAAGGAATTAAACTATAACTATTTTTCTGAATAAAGTAGAAAGACAAGATAAGATAATAAAGGAAAACATTCAGCCAGAGATGTGAAAAACTAGTTTTTTTTATCTTGAAATTAGTCTGTTCTACTTGTACTAATGAAAATTGTAATCATTTGTCAAAAAATGCAACAAAATTAATTATTTGATATAACAAAACTATGTTACAATGAGTCAGTTAATGTGTCCCGTGGCTACATCTGTCGATAAACGTCTCAAGAAAAGGATTAGCCTACAATAAGAACAGTGTCCCCAAATCACCAGAGGAGGGAGACAGTTGTCTAACAGAAGCAGAGAATAAAAAATATTTATGATACATTTAGAAACTGAGCTAATTATCACTTTTATTTTACTGCAAATTCGTTTAATTTTAGCAGGTGTTGTAAATCGTTGTTGTGGTGTCACCAAATCACCAAAAGAGGACCACAGCTCAAACTGACACGAGGGCCTTAAGAGTCAACAGAGCTTAGTTTTTTGTTTTTGTTAGATTGTTGTTTGTTGATGTACAGCACTTTGGGCAATCTTTGCATTGTATTTAAATGTGCTTTATAAATAAACTTGACATTGGCATTAATGTATTTCTAATGTATGTTGGTTAAAAGCTTTAAATGATTTAAAATGCCAGAGTAATTACACTTTTTTATAGAAGAATTTGTTTAAAATTGTGGGTGGGTTCTGCAACATTATACAAATACATTATTTGAAATCTGTAAAATTTGATTTCCTGGATTTTTTTTTACATTCTGTCTCACAATTGAAGTGTACCTATATTGAAAATTACAGACCTCTCTTCATTATAAGTGTGAAAACTCACATTACAACCCTGTGGTAGTTTAGCACGTTTCAAGATAAAAAATCACAAGATGAAAAAGACGAAGGAAAAAGCACAAATTACCACAGGATAGGTTGGCAGTCATATGGCAGAGGAGTAAAGTGCCCGCCCTGTAACTGAAGGGTTGCAGGACTGACTCTGGCTCACTCTGTGAAAGGATCGCAAGGGGAAAAATAGTTATATAACTTACATAATGAGCCTCTGGTGGCAGGAAAAGGCTAAGGGTTTGTCTTGAGAGAAGAAAATTGGTCAATAAAAGACCATTTGGCAAGTCACGTTAGGAGTAAGTCTGTTTTCGTTGGTAGAAGATTTTAGGCTCAGGAGGAGAAACTGAGATGATGGTAGAAAGTAAGCAGGTTCAGGCACAAGATCTGTGCCACGTTCAGGGTTGTCAGACAGGTTGGTGGACAGAACTGACAAGAGGAATGGACCTGCAGCAAACAGTCACCAATACTTTGAAGACCTCCTCAATCCAGCCAACATGTATTCAGGTGAGAAACCAGAGATAGGGGGCCAAGCAGTGGATCAACAAATCTCTGGGGCAGAAGTAACTGAGGTTGCTGGACATCTATGCTGCAGCAGAGCTCCAGACAGTATTTCTCAAAGCTGAGAATGTTGTTATAAGACTGTCTTGGCTTACAGGCCTCTGCAACCTTGCATGGACATTGGGGTGGTGTCTGTGGAGTGGTAGTCCCCATTTAAAAAAATAGGGGGGAGGGGGGGATAAGAGAGTGTGCATTCACTCTCCTCGGCATCCCAGGAAAGTCTGCTCCAAAGTATTGGAGAAATATGGCTCATCAGTAGTTGAATCTGCTTGAGGAGGAGAAATGTGGGTTTTGTCTTTGCTGTGGAAAGCTGGACAAGAACTTTATTTTTGTGTTTGTGTGAGAAAAGGAATGAACGTTTTCTCAACACGACATTTGGTGGATCTGGAAAGGTATTTTGACCATTTTCCCCTGAGGTACCTTGTGTGAGATGCTTGGCTAGTATTGGGTAGATTCCCTGAATTAATGAAGTGCAAGTCTGAAATTCATTGGCAACAGCAGATCAGCAGAGAGGTTAAAGTGTCTCAGGGTCTCAATCATGTTTGAGGAAAGATGGGAGCAGGAGAACAACAGGTGGATCAAGGCAGCATCGGCAGTGATGTGGGCATTGATCGAGTTTTTGTGGAGAAGAGAGAGTCCTTGGAAGCTTTTTTTCAATAAGTCTGATTAGCTGGTTTCCCCCCCTTGGCCACTTGGTGCCCTAAGCACAGTGCATGATGCACGTGACCAGAGTGCCAGCACTGTTAGGATGTATCCTGGATGCTTTGGGGATGTACTGCCATAAGAGGTCACCAGGTAAACAAAGAAAACGCTGAAGGCGTTCCTCTATGCTAGCACGGTAACACCGGTTTTACCAAAAGATCTGTTAGAGTAAAGCAGAAAGGACAGTTTGGATGTCCTTCTTAAGGCTGTTGCCCCCATGACCCAAATAAACTGTCGACGACAAGTTAAGTGAAGGCTTAAGCGATACCATTACGACATTTGTTCGATGTTATACGAAAGCTGTAATCTGCAGTAATCAGTCATTTTCTGCACTCACTTGGTTCTGTTCAGGGTCACCGGGGAGGTGCTGAACCTAGCAGGTTATATCTCTACAGTAATGTAGCTGACATTATTATAACTCCAGTGTGGATGTGTCACTAGGAAACACGGCTCATCAGGAGATGCACCATATTTTCTTTTATTTTGCTTTTTTCACAATTTGCTTTGAGAAATTACACATAGTGTAAGGAACAATGTTCCTATTTGTCCACCTGTTTATTAGTTTCAGAACTTCAAATATATTCAAATGAAGTATAATTTTCACGTGACAGTTTGATGACTCAAGTCAGCAATTAATGTAATCCCATTTTCCAAATGCTTTGCATGATTTTTGCATTTTAGTTTAGCGTAAACTATTCCACTTCTCCATATGGATCCACTACTGAGCTAATTGAAAAGCATGAACATTTCTGAGTGTAGGGTTAAACATTGTTGCTTTTAAGCTTAATATATTACCTTTACTTATGACTAATAAGATGTGATGTTCTATACAAATATAGAACATCAACCTGCTTGGTCTTTGGAGGTTTAATCAGAAGATTCTAGGATTCTTTGCTTTTTCAGGGATTCAGACAGAGAGTCAGGTTTATTAAAGGTAAGAATTTATTTTCTAACAATTAAAAACATGACAAGTTAACCAAGACTTCTGTGATGGATGAATCTAAGTGGATGGGATGTGCTGTGTGGTGATTGAATGGTGTGTGTTTATCAGAACCTTGTATCTAGAAGAACTGAGTTCTGGGTGTGAAAAGAATTTGGTCGGCATTAAACTATGAAGTTGGTTCTCATCAAAATGGCATCAGACGCATTCATGCTGTGTCTACCTCACCCTTTCTTTGGAGACCCTCTTCGCGGATCCGGAGGTCAGGGAGGTTGGATGACCTCTGGGCACCGAGGTTCAGTAGATTAACCGCAGCACCGACTTCTCCGTTCCAGAGGTGTCACCGGGCACACAGGTTGGAACTCGCTTGCGTCTTGAGCAGCTGTTTCTGAATAGCTGAAGGAACCGTTTTGCTGTGCCAGCTGTAGGCAGCTTTTAGCTTGTCGAAAGCTTGTCAAGAGATGTGGTGGTTATGGAGTTTCCTCCGGTGGCCAGTCCGGAGTTCTACTCAAACTAACAGAATGCCGAATCTCACAGAATGCTGGAATGTTCCGCAAGTGATTCTGTTTTAATGTTCTCATACTGTGATTTACTTGGCCAATCGGGACGTGCCATGTTAAGAGGTGTTAACAAACGACCCTCAGAACATCACACTTTCTTTCAGATACAGGATGCTCTGATTTGTGGGTAAGAAAATATATATGTGCAGAAATTACTTTAACTTTATCTTATGAGCTTTGTGTATGAGTGTAGTGATGATTCACTTGTTAAACCAAACATTACTGATCATAACATCAAAACGTTTCATTGTAATAATAAAATTCATTTCAACCTTATTAACTTAGGCACAGATTAATCAAAACGTTTCATTAGTATTCATATAACATTTGTTCATTCAACCATATTATTATTTAATGATTACTTAACTTTTGAGTTGTAAAAGTGTTCACTTTATTCAGAGGCATGAGGAATCCTGTAGGAGCGATAAGGGAAGCGTAGGCCTTGAAACGGGAACAGTTTGTTGACAACATGTTATCACGTGTTCAGAGCTGCAGAATCTTCTGGGCTTGTTGGAAGATCGAATGTAAAATCCACCTTAGAGAATGGAATTTATGTCTGCAGATGACCGGTGGCGTGTAGGTCAATCCGTAGGTGAAAACTGACCATTTCTGGATGTTACATGAGTCAGAACAAGTCTGATGCACCTTATCTAAAAACACTATAACAACAATAGTGTTGTGCGTTGACTGACAAGGGTAAAAAACAAAGCTTTCTGATTTAAATGATAATATAAAAAGACAGAATACCTGCTAAAATCTCCCACATGCTGAGAACAGAAGCTGCTCACTGATGAGAAACTGATATGGCACAGAGCTGCAGCAAGTCACCGTTGTGCAGTGAGGCATAGTCTTTTCCTCGGTGCAGTTTAGCCTATGACATGGCCCGGGTGTTGCATTTCCTATATGCAAGCACTGTAAGGTTAGCTGTTATTGACTGCTGCACCTGGTCTTGCAGAGAGAAAGTGATTATTAAGGGAAGGCAGAGAGACTTTGCAGGAGAAGACGTGGAATCAGGATGTGAAGCAAACATCCTTCATTACTGTTTGAATTTTATTAGAGTTTGGCTCGGATGACAAGGAATTGATGCTGCTGATGCTTTTGGATTTTTTCATGGCTCAAGGCAGTTACAGGCTGAAAAATATGTCAGGTGGGTATTATTGATATTGTGCCAAGAGGTAGAACATTAAAGTTTGTTATAATATATGTAACTAGTTTGTAAAATTCTATGTAATGGCACATTATTGATTTTGATGTAACTTGCAAATAAGTATTTACAGTTTTAAAACACATTTATTGAATCTTAGTACAAGAAGTATGTCTACATTTCTTATTTTTTTTATTTTTTGTTTACTTGCTGGTAAAAACGCTTAGAGGATGCCTTTGGTTTTTAAAAAAAGCTGCCAAGAGAGCGGTTGAGCATTCAGAGGGAGAGTTACAGCGTAATTATAGAGTGGGTTCAGTCTATGTAGAACGACATAGCATTTGGGATAAAGTGACCGCTCAAAACAGTGTCTGTGCAAGTGGAAAGCCCTCCTCCATCCTTTTCTCCTACACTAGGACAGGCTGAGAGATCATAGTCAAAAGCATTTTGAGGTGAAAAGACTAGACTAAGGAACATCAAACTGAGGTAAGGACAGAAAATAAAGCTGTAAATTTTGAAAACTGTAAAATAAACTAGATTTAACGTTAACGGTAAAAAGATTAATGCGTTTTCTTTTTTATACAGCTGTGTTTTTACAAGTGAGAATGTAAAGTTATTCCTTTTTTTTTTTGTCAGCAGATCTAAACACTGAGGAGCGTATTCTAAACCACCAAGGGATCGATTGCATTCATCATCTGGACAGTATCCAAAACGAACTCACCATGAAGCGTCTAAGCCTTAAGAGGAGGCCCAGAGGGGCTCTCAATAATGTGGAAAATACACAGAGTTCCATTTCAAGTGACCAATGGCTTCCTGCAGAGTCCTTGTCGTCATCTGGCAGTGGCAGTACAAGGTTGCTTGGCATGTCTTCTTCAACCAAAGGTAAACCTCCTCTTCCTCCATCACACGGCTCTTTGTTGGATAACAAATCTTCCAAAAGTGAAGATCCAAGCCCCTCTCAGATTCTTACTGAGTCAAAACCCCGGCAACCTGAAAGATACGCCTCTCCACAAAGACAAAACCCTGTGGTAGAACGGATGAAGAACAGCCCAGATCAAGATCTGACGAGTCGATCTCCACCTCAGCCCCTTCCCCGTCGACGACTTGCCAGCTTTGGAGGTGTGAGTACACCTGGATCCCACTCACCCTTCACTGGCCTGGGTGCATACAATCAGAACAATAATGGAAACAAGCCTGCCACTGAGACAAATGCCCACCTTAGCTCATCCGTGGGAAGCAGAGGCAGCACAGGGTGTCTGAGGGTGAGCCCACAGAGTTCTGGCACAAGCACTCCACTTTCAAGCTTTGGGTCCATGCACCTTCAGCATGTTCGTGACCAGATGGTTTTAGCTCTAGAAAAGCTGAGGGAGCTGGAGGAGCAGGTGAAAATCATCCCTATCCTCCAAGTAAAAATCTCTGTCCTTCAGGAAGAAAAGAGACACCTTTTGTCTCAGTTAAAGGACCAGACCGCCAACAAGGACACAATCTTAAAAGGAATAGACAACCTAGCAGGGTCTGACCTTGAGAATGGGGTGAACACAGTGGCAACATCTGAAGGCACTGGAATAAATGACTGTGCCAAGTTCAAGGAGTTAAAGCAACTAGTAGAAGAGATGCAGGCATTGGAAAGAACCATCAGAGGTGGACATTTGCAAATGTGGCATGAAAAAGGCCATGGCCCCTTGCAAGATAAGTCTACAAAGTCAGTGGCTGTTGGAACTATGGACACAGATATGACCTCGTCAAAAAAATCTAAAGAAAACAAGTATGTGTACACCGATCTGGTAGAGACTAAATCCATTGCAACAGAAGTAACAGAGCTTCACTTGGGTTTTCACAGCAAACTAGAGGCAGAGCTCGATGCCCAGCGGCTGTTAAATAGAGCCCTAAAGGAGAGAATTTTCCACTTGGAAGCAGAGTTAAAAGAATCAGCTCTCAAGATTGAGCTGACTTGTCTGAAACTGGAGCTTCAGTCTGCAGGAGCCAGAAACCGAGTTGACAAGTCCTGCTTAGCTAGACCATCCACTGTTAGCATCAGCATAGAAGCAAAACCTTCCCACAAAAGTCAGGGAGTTGGTAATCACATAGACCTTCAAGATGCCAGCACAGGAGAGGCTAAAAGGGTAGAAACTGTTGGTCTGTCCTGTAAGCCTGAGATGAAGAGCATCTGCACAGGCCCAGATGTGCCCATCAACCACTGGGAGGTGAGGCAGAGAATGGAGACCAGTGAAAAGGCTGTTGGGATCTGGGTTTCCACAAGAACCCAAGGAACTGGAACCGAGACAAAGCTACGTGATGAAAGCAACACCGAAGTTCCAGCAGAAAATGTGACGTACAAAAAACAAAGGATTAGGTGTCAGTCAGTGGATTGCGGGGATTATTTTGGTAATGCCTGCATCAGTGAGGCAAAGAAAATGGTTTCTCAAAGTATTGCCACAGATTTAGTCAGAGGAGTTGATCGGGGAATCACGGCGTCACCCCAAACCGCTTCACGGCGTACCAACACCACGTCTAGTTCAGTGTCTCGCTTCACTAACACCAGTCAAGCCTTCCGCAATGATTCCAGCACAAACACGCTCCTCAGCAAACAAGACAAGCACACTAACACAACTCATACCTTCACCCGGACGGTGTCTGTAGGCAACAGGATTGAAGGCTTTACATGTGCAACAGAAACCCGTTCAGTTGGTGTCAACACTGCAAATCTACCCGAAAGCATCCTAAAACAAACATCGGAGACAGTGAGCAAGGTAACAAGAGACTGTGGTGTTGGATTCACAAATATTTATGAGAACTTTCTGGTTGGACTGAAAACTCGAAATATGGCCTCAGGACCATCCCATCTCCCGGATCCCATCAAGACAAAGACTATAGGTGTGGGAGAAGGGAGAATACGAGATTTTTCAGTTTCTTCTTGCACAACCAGGCCACGATTCCAGCAGTCCGCCCAGTGGGATCATGAGTTGAGCCACTACATTGAGAAGATGCACAGACTCTTAAAGGAGCATGGAGACCTCCTCACAGAAGAGGGTGACCATTACAGCAATGGACCACTGTGCAACATCAAAAGTGTCACAGAAGGGGGAGCTGAGGTGCATCTCGTCGCCTCTCAGTCAACAGGTACAATAATTAACGTGTTCAAAGAATTTATAAAAGTGGTTCTTTTATTGATTTTAACTGTGGGTCCTTTATGAATTTTCAGTCAGTTTATTTTTATCAAAAACAAAATAGCTTTGAAAACCAAAATACAACACACACTCACTGCAGCCATCAGCATGCTACTCGATTTTTATCCCCTTAATCTAATCTGATCATGAAATAAATCGCCCCTTTGCCACTAGAGGCCCAAAGCTCCATTGCTATATTAATAATAATAATAATAATAATAATAATAATGCATTGAACTTATATAGCACTTTTCTAGACACCCAAAGACGCTTTCACACGCTCTCACATTCACACACTGCTAGTGATGGTAAGCTACTTGTAGCCACAGCCGCCCTGGGGAGGTCTGACAGAGGCGAGGCTGCCATTTGGCGCCGTCGGCCCCTCTGACCACCACCAACAAAGGCAAGTTGGGTGAAGTGTCTTGCCCAAGGACACAACAGCAGGATACCCCCGGCGGGAGCTGGAATCGAACCCATGACCCTCCGATCATGAGGCAACCCGCTCTACCACCTGAGCTACTGCTGCCCCTAAGTCACATACCACCTTTAGATTTTCTTGCAGCAAACTCAAACTTGCTTTTTTGTCTCTTTACTTTTAGACACAACTTGTACAAATTTCAAAGAAAATCCAGAAATCAGTCAAGTGACCTGTAACGAATCAGAGGTGAAAAAAAGGATTAAGGTGTTAGAACTACAGTCAGCATCAGCACTACAAGGTAAGCAAACCTGTCTGTATTTGGTAGAAATGTACCTTATAAAGAAACCCTAATGTTATAAAGAAGCTAGTCTTTGTAGAAGAAGTTATGAACTAAATAAACTTTCACTTTGAAGCCACTGCCATGTCCCAGTTTAAACGTGTACGAGATTCAAGGGGAAGTGGCTGCCTTTGGTTTGGCACACTGACTTTCTGTGGGACACACTTGCAATGTTTGGAATGATATCTGGTTTTGAAAGTTGTTTTGTCCCACATGGCAGTTTGTGGCTTAGAGTCTAGAATTAACCGACCTCGTAGGAGGAACCGGTGTCTGAGAATGCTTTCTCAATCCAAAAGTTCCACAAAGACGACTCACTGTTTTTATACACATCAAAAAGATCTAAGAGATGTTCTTCAGGTCGTTTGTCAAACCCAGGTGTTTCATCGTGATCTCACTTCACCTGCTAAACAAGTTCAGCTTTCCATTTTTGTTTCTTTTTTTAAACACAAATAAGGTTTTTCTTTACCTTGCTGAGGTTTCGTTTGCGGCTGCAAAAGGAAAACAACAAATAACAACAGAAAGAAAAGAGCAGCCAAAGCAAAGAACCGGAAACCCAGAAAGACAAGAACCAAAACCAGTGATAACCCTACCATACATCAAAGGCATGACAGAAAAAATAAGAGCAACAATGAAAAAACACAACATAAACACACCAACAAAACCATACACAACAGTTAGAAACAGACTAGTGCACCCAAAAGACAAAATATCAGCTGGACTTAAATGTGGAGTCGTTTACGAAATCCCATGCAAACTTTGCGATAAAACATACATAGGAGAAACCGGACGCCAGCTCAACACACGGATAATAGAACATAGAAAGGAGTGTGAGAAAGAAACAAGTCAAAAACACACAAGAGCAGCAAAAGAAGAAGCAGAAAGCACAATAAAGAAGTCAGTCGTAACAGATCACTGCACAAGAGAAAACCATATAATGGACTGGGACAACACAAGGATCAAAAACACCGAACAACAGAAATACAAAAGATGGTTAAAGGAAGCTATAGCGATAAGGAGATGTGGATGTGGGACCATGAACAGAGACGATGGGGTCCACTCATTGGATCGTGCATGGGACTGCATCGTCGGAGAGGGGAGAGCGGGCAGCAGAGGGCGACAACGTCCTCTGCTGCCCGCGGATAAACGGAGTAGGAAGTGCCGTCAACATCAGCGTCAGCTCTGAGGATCTTTGCAGCCACAAAAGAAATGTCAGCAAGGTAAAGAAAAAACCTTATCTATGTTTAAAAAAGAACCAAAAATGGAATTTGAAGACAAACACAGAAGGAACGTACAAAAGAAGTTCAGCTTTCTTCGTCTTGACATCTGGGTTAAGACGCTCATAATCACAAAAATGTTTTCCTTTGTGTGTGCACAGCAGGCCTGGAAATACAAGAAAATGTTGTTTAGTACTAGCCTCAGTGATAGGTGTTATACATCATTTTTAGACACATCTGTTGCCTGTAAGCCGTCGTCTTTGAAGAAGAAACAGGGTGGTGACCAGTCCTGCAGCAACAACAGGAAAAGCATGAAGTTTATGAGTGTGACTCCAGGGTAAGTGTGATTAATCCGAATCAGAATCAACTTTATTGTCAATGCCCCAGCGTCCTGAAGCATAGAAATGTATCCCCGCAGTACAACCTGTCTAAGGTTACACACACTAAACATGTAGAACTAAACAGATACATGCAGACTGGAGAGCGGCCATCAAGGCGCCCATTTGCAGTCAGATAGAAAAGGGTTACATGAGGATAAGAGGGGGAGCATTTCAGAGTTACTCCTGACAGGGGGTAGCTTTGCTATTCAAAACACACCTCAAACATATAATCACGAAGACCAGACAGTTCACAACATGAGGCTCCAATAGGCAAGTGGGGTGGGGGGGCTGGAACCAGAGAGCAGCAGCCTCGACCGCTGTTGAAACACAGGTGGGAAGGAGATCAATGAAGTGAAGAGCACATTGACACCTTCAGTTGTAGATCTCGACCACCAATCCGAAGGCAGGGAGGTAGGCCGGGTTTCAGAGCATCTGTCTGCATTCCTTCATGGAGATTTTGTTTTTCTTGCAGCTCAAGGCTACCAGGGCGCCAGATTCAGATAAGAAGAATTGTTTGGGTCAGGCAGAGATCATTTTCTCTCTGCCTTTCAGTTTTTAACTGATCATTCAGTCTCTCAGCGAATCAAATTTTGGGATTTAATCTTGCCCGTACCGTGCAATGACTTTCTCCAAGATCACATCCATCTTGCACACTAACACCAGGATCGCAGCTAGAACCTTGCAATTCACTTCAAGTAGCGTCCCAGTCCGAGCGGTCTCCACACGACTGAGACTTTCCATGGGTACGGGTCGCACTCCAATCGCCCCCAACTTCCCAATTTTCCAAAATTCCAGAAATCCTCCCACTCCAAACAGAAGAAAAGTAATTTTCAGGCTGAAAATCCACACATCTTTGATGTTCTTCACGGACAGTTGGTCAAGGCACATAATCCTTCCAGGAATCCAATGTATACCCATCGGGTGCGCCCCCTGCTCCGTTCTCATTGTGAAAAAATCTTGTCAATCGCGTTGAATGACCAGTTGACCAAATCCATAATTTAAAAAAAAGAGTTTTCAGGAGGAATGTAGAGAAGCGCTCTGTAGCCAGACAGGACAAGAGCACAGTGTGATCCGGGCATAGTAAAACAATAAGGGAGAGAAAAGAGAAGCCTCTGTACTCTCCAGGTGCCCGAAGAAAAGCTTTTAAAAATAATAATCCACCACTCAGTCTTTGAATATCATTAGTCTATTCATATTTAAGCTACTAAGCTTTGTTTTCTGCCCAGATTGGACCTAATGTCAGCCTATGAGCAAGAGGAAGAAGAAAGAAAAGGAAATCACACATTTAAGAATTCTTCAAAAGACATAAAAGAAGACACCAAAAAGGGGTCAAACGGGACTCTACATCAGCCACCGAGGTAAAATAAAGGAAATATTTATGTGTTTGGAGGGGACGTAGTTTGTAGTTTATGGGGCTGCTGCTATGAGAGCCAGTTGAATTTTTTTTTTCGCGACATCTTCTCTGAGCTCAGTAACCCACAAAGGTCTGTCCTTTCAGGTGTAAGTTAAGTGAAAAGATGTTTTCCGCTTGCCAGGCTTTGAAGATTCATCTGAGTGAGGACCCAGCTCTGTCAAGCAGAGAACTGGTGTGTCTGTTTACTATCTTCATGGTGAAACATTTGACTTGTCTGGACTTGTCCACACAATCGCTGTATGGATGTAATAGCATCCTTCTTCCTTTTCTGCTGTGGAAGGGTGTGCTCAAGTCTGTTATTTGAAACACATCAATGAGACGCAAGTGTGTGGTTACCATGGTAACTCTAAAGAGTCACTGCCTGCTGTTTTATCGTTTCTTTGGATCCTGTTTGTTGTTTTCTTTATTATAACGTTTATTCTTTTAGATGCTGGTCCTAATGTAATTTTGGTGGAAACTGTTGTGATTTTGGACATTATTTACTTGTTTAATGTTTTAGTGATTAATATACATAATTTTAAGACAGGTTATTTTAAGATATTAGGTCTTTTTTGTTATTGCTTCTATATTTCTACAAAATTTTGTTCTGATTTGCTCTGCAACCAGAGCTGCTGAAAACTTACTTTTTCTCATGATTTTTTTCTTCTTCTTTGCAGCAGGACAGCCTACGCACACTCCAACAGGAGTGGTTCTCCATATCCAGCCATAAGGCTGCTGCTCCCAACGCTGTAGGGGAGTATTTGTCTACGTTTCAGATGATTTCGCCCTCAGTGTTGCACTACATCACCAATATGACTGATGGCAACGGAAATACGGCATTGCACTACAGTGTTTCTCACTCCAACTTCGGCATAGTCAAAAAGCTGCTTGATGCAGGTACACTTGGACACTCGGAAGTGTTCTGAATGATCTGTGCTTTTCTTTGTCCTTTTTAATCTTGCATATGCCCTGTGATGTAAAACAATGTTAACAGATACATTATTCTGCATGCAGTCTGTTACAAAAACATGATTAAACTAAGTTTCTTAGTTCTAACCCACAAAGGAGGGTAGATTGTATTGAACAAAGAAGCAAAGTTATTTTATCGAGGCTAGACAGCCACTGAATCCCAGTGGGATGGTAAACTCTTATCTTCTAGTTAAAGTAAGTATTTCATCTATGCACTCAGTGTTCTTGATGAATGCAGAATAAAAAAGGAACATAAAGCCCTACTCTCGCATCGAATAGTCCAAATCTTTTGTCCAGCTGTGAATAAATCTGAAGGAATGACTAAAAGGTTTAAAATGTAATTCAAGGCCAGAGTTTTTTATTTCCCTGATACAATCTGAACTATAAAAAAGTTTTGAAACCCTGCAGCTTTCTAAAGACATGGGAACAAAAATACCTAATCAATATTGTTAAAAAAAGATTCAAAAACCTGATTTGTTGGTTTTTTGAAATAAATGATATTGCATAATTACATATCCCCTAAAGCCACGTTTAAATTTGTTCTTACTCTGGTCAAATGCAAGAACCAGGAGCACAAAATAGGATTTTTATCACTTCACATGATGAGTTAAGATGAGATGAAAGGAGACTTAACTGATCCCACAATGGGGAAATTTGTGCTACCACAGCTCAGGACAGATAACAAACGAGCACAAAAGTGACCAAGAATGCAAAAAACAAAATAAGACAAGGCACTATGTATAACAGTAGTTCCTATGTAGACACATACACAGTAAGTAGGGATGTGTATTGGTGAAAATCTGGCGATAAAGGTTGGTTTATGCTTGACGCGTCCGCGAGGTCCGCACGGCTCCGCGCGGAAAAGTTGCGTCATTTTAACAACCACGCCCCTCCACCGCGCCTCCGCACGGCCCAGAATTTTTGCAACGCGCACCTCGAAAAATTTCTAACCATGCGGACGGACGGACGCGGAAAAACATGGCAGACCGGCAAGAACTAGTACGGCAGAGGTTCGTAAATACAGACATTTGTATGATTCAGCTCTCAGAGATCACCGTGATCAACATAATTCTTGGAGAGAAATAGCTCGCACTGTCGGAAAAGACGAGAAGCTGTTAAAAATGCTGAAATGCCATGTTGTAACAGTACTTTCTACTTCTACTACGGTGTAGTGTTGGATGCTTGCCGTAGAGCTCCATGCTGCCCTGTTCAGTTTGGGACAATATTGGCTCACCACAGAGACTAGCCGCACGAACCATAAACACTGCGAATTGTGAAATACGTTCCATCCGCGAGCCAAATCACCGCACGGAAAGTGAATGCGTCAAGCATAAACCAAGCTTAAGATACGCATCACGATACAGGGGGTACAATACAGTGATTCACGATATATTGTGATGCGTTCAGTCAGATGACGTTAGCAATTTTTTTAGACTGAATTTATTGTAGGAAAATTCAATAAATAGTCCAAGCTGAAACATTACATGTTAATGTGAGGTATCTTAACCATAATAGACGGATTTAAATGTCAATGGTGGAAACAAACCCCATTGCACACTGCTGCGAACTAGCGGTCGGCATTTGAATTGCACCCAAAAAAAAAAGAAAATGCATAATTGTTTGCATGTAAATTCTTCCAAAAATTTGATATACAGCTTTAAAATATATATTGATATAAAATTGCAGGAAAAATATCACGATATATTGCGATATCAACATTTTTGATACACTGTTTTGAATATCAATATAACATCACTGGGAAAAAATATTACCATATTTTACCATGAATTTTCTTACATCCCTAACAGTAAGCATTATGAATAGGGGTTGTGAAATAATGTGGAAGTAATAATACATAAAAAAGTATCAGCTGTTCTACTACAACTACTATTTACTGTCCAAGTGGGAGATACCTGTAATGGAAGTACAATGTGTGTACATAAGATGACATTGGCTTTTTGTGCTACAATATTTTATTCTCTTCAACTTAGAAACATTTTTATAATTATTTAGAGACATTTGATGTTGACTTAAAGTTTAAATTTTTTATTTGTCTTTTTTATTCAGGAAATGTGTCAACATTCTTGATTTTTTTAAATCTAAGTAATATTAAGTTCCCGTTTATGAGAATCAACAGAGCTATAATAGATGGAATTGTTTCATTCGTTTATATCATACCAAATACAAAATCAGGAGGTTAAAATTATTTACATTTCTCTCTCCGCACCATAGCTGTGAAGCCCAGACTATCAATATGGCTTTACTTTTACTCGTGCAAACAAATCACGGCTTTGCTTGTGCTGACACTATCTGTGAGTCTGTTCCAGGGAAAATGGGTCATCTCTGGTGAAAAGCTGTTTCATTTAAAAATTTTAAACTTCATGCATTCATGAATGTTCTCCTTTTTTCTCCTCTTTCACCGACATCACTGTAGGCGTGTGCAATGTGAACCAGCAGAACGCGGCTGGTTACACACCCATCATGCTGGCTGCGTTGGCTGCTGTGGCGGACCCGAAGGACATGAGAGTTGTGCAGCAGCTCTTTGCTAAAGGAGACGTTAATGCCAAGGCCAGCCAGGTCAGGCTGCGACTGATTCTACTTCTGTGAATACGGTGGAAATCTGCTAACAAGAACTCCTGATGAATATTTCATATCACAAATGGATGTCTGTTTTCCTGTCATTTTCCATTGGGATGCTTTCTATGCCACCCTTTGATTTTATGCAGATCTTGTGTTGTCTGCGCTGAAGATCCTGTATGAGGAGATGAGGAAACTTTTTTGACACTTTTTCTGAGTTTTGACATTTCTTGCTCTCATGTAGCTCATATATTTTCTGACTTTGTGCATTTAATGATATAATTTCTAAATTAAGTTCTTTACTTTTTATTGTCTTTAGTTCAGAAAGTTTTAAATTGATCTATTTTTAAATGAATCAAGCCTACTGAGTTAAATGCATTTTTAATGGGTTTTTTTTTCCCAGTGAAACTCTCAATAGCTTTTGCTTTCTTAAATTATATTTTTATAAACTAAAACCTGAAACAGTGACTGACTAAAATAATTTTTAGGATTCATTATTTTGCAGCAAATTTGGCATTGTCCCTCCAAAGATATTTAAAGTCTCATCAAGCATGAATTATTTCACAAAAGCACAGGTACAAACACACAAATAGTCATGCAGTTCCCTGAAAAGATGGGCAGGATTTTAAATATGTGATAAATATGTGTCCACCAACCCGCACTATAGGAAGACCTGACAGTCACCCAATGGATAAATGTGAAAAAAAGATTTATATATATGTATATCTATGTGTGTGTATATATATATACTTTTTTATATATACATATATATATATATATATAACATATATATATATATATATATACATACTGTATATGTTTGTATATATATGTGTTCATGTATATATATATGTACTTTATATATATATATATATATATATATATATATATATATATATATATATATATAACATATATATATATATATACATACTGTATATGTTTGTATATATATGTGTTCATGTATATATATATGTACTTATTTATATATATATATACATACTGTATATGTTTGTATATATATGTGTTCGTGTATATATATGTACTTATTTATATATATATATATATATATATATATATATATATATATATATCCTTATGTATATATATACTTATTTATATATATATATATATATATATATATATATATATATATATATGACTTGTTATCTTTTAGATGGTTTGAAACTGAAGCCAAGTGGAGGCTGGAGTGATGGATCCTTGTACTTGCCTTGTGCCACCCTCTACATGAGCTCCCAGCACATTAAAGCTATGAAGCAGAAGACCTCTCACTAGTTCCTACCCGAACCACCAAAGTGATGGAGTGCCGTTTCTGGCCAGCACAGTGCGCAGGAGTGCTGTCCCATGTGAAGCGGCTCATGTTTCTGGCTCAATAACCATTGAAACCAGTTTGAAAGCAACAGCTTAAAGTGTTAAATGCCCTTTAGTGTTGCATTAAGCTCATGATGATCAGACTCATGTTCTTTGTCTGTATTTGACCTTTGCCCTTTCAATCTTCAGGCTGGTCAGACTGCCCTGATGCTGGCTGTGAGCCATGGCAGGATGGACATGGTGCAGCCCCTCCTGGCCCTGGGGGCAGAAGTCAACATTCAGGACGACGAGGGCTCCACGGCTCTGATGTGTGCAAGTGAACACGGTCACGTCGACATTGTTAAACTACTGCTGGCACAGCCGGACTGCGACGCCACCCTGACTGACAGTGTATGTGAGTCATTGTCTCTGCTTTGGCAGCTTCTCCCACCAGCGTAGTGAGCAGAGTGGCTTCAAGCTGAGATAAGAAGCTTCCAACTTTACATTACACATTGGCTTCCAAGAGTGGGAGATAAGACCTTTTTAATGGCTGTTGTCAAAAGGAAAATGGCCAATTGATGTTAGAAAACACAAAGATGGCCATCATTCATTCATTTTAACAGATATTGAGCTAAAATTTGATGTCGTTCAGAGTTGTCCAAGTCAGATGTTTTAAGTGAGATTGTTGTTTAAAGCTCGCTATTATTTTTCACCTTGCTGTTAGTAAATTATCAAGTGAATCACAAGATGAATTTATGAAATAATTATTACACTAAAAAGATATAAAGTGGTCAGTTTTAGTTAAAGTCTCTTAACAAAGAGAGCATGTGTTATTTGAATCCATTTTTATGATCAAAGCCATCTTTTTAAATGGGTTACCAGGATGAAAGCACAGCCCTGTCCATCGCGTTAGAGGCGGGGCATCATGACATCGCAGTACTCCTTTATGCTCACGCCAATTTCTCCAGACACTCACGGGTATGTTTACATTTGAACATCAACTTACAAACTAAAAATATGCATTAAATAATTATTTCTTTCATGTTATCTTGTGTTTGCTGATTTGTTACAGGCAGGAGCTCGACACACAGGAAGGTGTTTTGTATCCTCAGAAGGAGGGAACATCTTTGAATGAGGGAAGGAAGTAAAACCTGAAGGGAGGCCACACAAGTCCTGTTTATTGAGTGATTTGCTATCAAAGCCCCCAAAGCAAAGGGAATAAGTTAGCCATTCATCATCAGGTGGAACTTATCTGTTAATAGAATTATTCGTTTCTCAACTGTTTGTGACTACAATACTCAATTTATTGATATAAATAATAATGGCAGAGTAAATTATTGATTTCCTATTAAACAATGCTGTCATTGTTTTGAATAATTTTCCTTCATAATATATATATATATATATATATATATATATATATATATATATATATATATATATATATATATATATATATATATATATATATATATATATATATATATATATAATATATATATATATATATATAATATATTCTTATCCTTAGTTTTTATTGTAATGCATATAAACATTCATTATCCCATAATGAAATGAAACATGTGTCATGATGAATGAGAGGTTTGGCCTGTGTTTGACATGTTTGTCATTATACCTAAAACCACAGCAACATTAATAATTGTTAGAATGAAAAACAAACAAATTCAAATTCAGCATTTTTTTTTCATTTTATAGAAATAAAATTATTTTTAATAAATGTTTTAAGATATATATGTATACATATATATATTCAGCTTTGTTGTATGAGAAGAGAGTTTAATGTAACGCTCTTCTCAAAACTTTTTTAGTTTTTTTAGTAACGTTTTTTTTGTTTGTATTTTTTTCACCTTTCAATTGCATTTTAGGTCTTTGAAATAGAAAAGAAAGTTGAAAATCAGATAACTAACATTCTCAAATTATTCCCCACAGACCCCAGTGACTTCTTGAATTTATTAATTTGCCACATATTTAATGTATTCATAAAAGTAAATATGGAATAAAATTAACTTAATTACCAGAATTGGGCTTGTTTTGGTCTTATGTTCCAGGTCACATTGAAACATTTAATTTATCTGTTTTCATCATTTATATTTTAAAAATCTGATTTAAAGGTGTGGTTGACTGAAAAAAACATTTTTTACAATTATTTCTGATTATAATCTGTCCCTCTGAGTTTTTCATGCAGGCAGAACAACTCCTACAACTATCTCCTGCTTTAGATTCTGATAGAAAATAGCTAGTGAAATGCTAGACTTTAAAAATCCTCACTCTGTGATGTCACACCGTAAATGTGCATTCATGGCCTTGCCCATCAAGGCTCCCGCCCACCCACATGAAGGCTTTTTTTTTTTTGCAGTGAGGAGAGAGATCGGAAAGTGTGTTGGCAGTAGTGACTTTGCAACATGGCTGAACGTGCTCTGTTAGCCAATCAGAAGCAAGGTGTGTTCATGTCATTAATAATAATGTGCAATCCCGCTGTTTTCAACCCACCTTTGCACCAGCAAACTTCTGCATCTCAGACCAGGAGCATCATAGCTTTATTAAATAACTCATGAGGCATTGGTTTACACTAGAGAACACTGCAAATGTAATGAATAAATGAGTAAACCACACTTTTAACTCAATTTGCTGTTTCTCAAGTTTCTGTCAACGCTGCTGTATGTTTCGACACTTCCTAGTGGGAACATTGGTCTGATTTCCTTTGAAACAGAAACTTCTGAACTCCTCACCTCTACGCCATCAGCTGTCCTCTCTGGATTCACCTTCTTGCCAATTGTTTGACTGGTGATTGTTTCTGAGAGCTTTCACGTCCATTTTTACACAGATTAGATGGTTCCATGAGGTGTTTTCAATTTGACCACCTCTGAGAGCAGCTGTGAGAGACCGGTTCATTGGGTTTTGTGACCTGACAACGCAGATCCCAGTTTGGATTTCAGAATATTCTCAGTGCATTCCCTGTCTGAACCACCGCAGGTTAAAACATGAATTTTACATTTAAATGACTCATACATTTTGTATTAAATATTCCGAACAATCTGTACTCCAAAGTTCTGGGTGTTTTAATGAATATTCCCTCATGCTTTTAACCAGTTTGAGGGGTGATCATTAAATGCTGCATGGGCCAGGCTCTTGGTAAAACAGCAAAATTATTTATGAAGGACAATTTAGATAATAATGAAATCAGTTTGAAGTTATAAAACAATGCTAGGACAAATAAATCATCTCCTGATTTCCACTTTTCTTCTTCCAAAGGTTTTAAAATTTAGTGCAAATTGCAGGACCCCCCCCCCCCCCCCCCCCACACACACACACACACACACACACACTAGTGTCACCCCTGTTCCTGAGAGCGGGCGCGGCTGTGACTGAGTCATTTCCCAGCTACAGCAATAAAATACAATCAAGGTCCACCATCAAAATCTGCTGTTGCTATGGAAACAGCCGTTTTTAGCAACTGGGTGTTGAGAACACAATTTCTGAAATACTATCTCTTGTTTGCTGAGGTTTGGCCAATCCAGTTCATTTGTTTAAAGCTTTTATTGGCGCAGAAACAGCACAACACTTTATTATTCATTAGAAAGGATGCAGAATTTACTCAAAGCTGTTTACATAAAAAGAAAAACTCAGCTCTTGTTTGGTGCATGAATAAAACATAAAGCTGGCATCCCAAAAAGTAAAAAAAAAAGAGCATTTATATTTTCATCCCAATTATGCAAATGTGTTCCTTTGCAAGCTGAGGGCATAAGATTCATCTAGAAATGATTATGTTGGCTGTCTCACCACTTCAGTTTACTGGCAATATGTTACATGTTCTTGACATCCAGTTGCTTAGGATTTATTCCAGCTCATTTTTATAGCCTTTATGTAGTTTGTGCTTCATCATTTGTTCATCTTTTCACCGCTAAACTGCTCCCATTACCTAATTAGATGTTCTATGAAATGGGTAAATAGGCAAAAAGGTGAAACACCTAAAACATGTAATAACTAGTTATGACTCATGGGATAAACTCAAACTAAAAGGCTTTGTCTAACAGTCCAGTGTGATGTTATCCTGCTGTGAACCAGAGGAGCATGTATTGTTTGAATATTAGAGTATTTTTTGGTTGAGTCATACTTTGTTCAATTTCTGTGTCTTAAAAAGAGATCAAAGAAACCATCAGTCTTTCATTTGTTCTAAACAAATATATCAGCTCCACAAGGGAGAGAGGGAGAGACACGCATGCATGGACGGAGATAGTCTCCTGGAGAGTGTTGCAAGGCAATTCCCCGCCAGGACAACAGAGGGCGTAGTGCTGTCCTGTGGTATCCTGTCATGTAACTAGCCCAAGACAGTGTGTTTTTATTGTGGTTTTTATTTTTTTGTATTTCAGAGACTTTTTAGCACGGACATATTTGTCCCTCGTTCTCCTCCACCTCTAAACCCACGTTTCCTGTCATTTCTGTCCACGACTAAAACACTTGCTGCACATCTTTTCACTCCTCCAGTCACGGAGGAAGAAAACGTTCATATTTTTAGAGTTGTTCCACAAGATATTCTTCAAGCTGCTCCGTGTCTGCCGCTAGACATCCTCAGCTCTCTTTACGTTTTGAGGGCGCAATGGTGGCTGTAGATGACAGCTGCGTCCTGACCAATCACAAGCTTGCGTTCTCCGTCTCGTCAGATGGATGTTTAGAAAAGAGAGCTCGACTCCATCCATCCATGCGAGCCTGCTGGAGAGTCTTCGAAAGGACCGATAATGGCGTTGCGTGCATCCATCCCGACGCACATGGAGAAGTATAAATTAGGCTTGAGTTCTGTTAATTGCATCATTTCTTTGCTTTCATGGACTCACTTGGCTCATGATGTAGAAGGCTGTTGTTGACTGAGCATCCAGGAGAGAGCAGAGCACATCTTTGCTAGAAGTAGCTATCTGTTAGCATTAACTCCACAACATGGCAGAACTTCTTGTGTTATTTGTGGAGATTAAGCGGCAGGCATGGAGCAGCTTGAAGGATACCTCACAGAAAAACTCTAAAAATAAGAATGTTCATTCACCCATAACTGGAGGAGCAAAAAGATAGGCAGCAAGCATTTTATTCCTGCTTTATTAAAATGGAGTTCTTTGATTATTTAAAAGAAAAGAGTTCATTCTTTGTTCTTCTGTCTTCATTGCTGGAATGTAAACAGTTTAGAAGCGAATGCATGACCTTGAGGCTGTTTCATGCATCCTGACACTGTGTCAAAAGGAAACAGCTGTTAGAGGGCAGAAATGGCTCCTTCATCACGTTACAATGGCAATGACGGGAAACGTGGGTTTAGAGGTGGCGAGTGCATGAAGTGTCGGAGGAGAGTGATGGACAAATTTGTTTGCGTTAAAAAGTCTCTGAAATACAAAAAACACAATATAAACACAATAGTAAACACGCTATCTTGGACCGGATAACATGACAGGATGCCTCAGAACGGCTACGCCCTCTGTTGTCCTGGCGGGGAATTGCTTTGCAACACTCCCCAGGAAACGGAGAAGTCCGAGAGCAAAATGTTTCTGTCAATGTGTGTGTGTGGAGCTGACGCAGAAGCAGAAACTAGGCTTAAGACTAAAGTGGGACCGGTTAGGTTTGACACAGTTTGGTATTTCCGTGTTTGATAAAAACACCATCTGGCTGCAATTAAAATAATAAAAGAAATGACCAGCTGCAAGAGGTCTGACATAAACTGGCTAGTGTTGAGGTTCTGCACTTGCCAAGCTGTCCCATCATAATGAGATATGGCTCGTGTCCCTAAAAACTGGCCTCCCTCCTCTGGTTATCCAAAGAGGTTTGAACTTCTTTGGTTTCTTCTCCTGGTTGTGTATTTTTCTGCTTTGTGAGCTCCAACTTGTGTTCTTTTCCCAGCCTTTTGCATCACATTTTGGAAGAAAGAAGTCTAAATGAATCACAGAAACCAGATGTACTTGAATATTAGCCCAGACTTGGAAAAACCCCTCTGTGGTCCTGCCATTGTTTCAAACGAGAAACTCAAGGTTCTGCATGTTTTTAACTGTCCAGTTTTAGCAGGGGAGTCAAATGTGATTTGAATCCAAATTCATACAATAAATGCATACAAACTGCTGTCACTGTGGCTGTTGAAACAGAGATTTTCCCTTCAAAATGCAACTTCTAAAGGATTAAAAATGAAGCTGATAAATTCAACAGCGGGGAAGGAAGGAGGCAGTATTAAAGCGTGCAATGGGAGACAAGCAGAAGGGTCTTTCAGAGTCAGGGTAAAAGACTTCAGAGAGCCGCAGACAGGAGATGGGGATGGCAGTTCCTTTTTTTTCTTCTTTCACCCAGCCCATTGATTTGTGTATGAAAACATGCGCTTTTATTCTCCCCCCTTCTGGGCTCTGCTTCTGAGTGATCAGCTGATGAAGAGACTAGCAGCACGCCGCTATGCTGGTTTGCTAATTCTCTCCCCCACAGCTGCAGCCGATCCTGACAGTCAGCCTGCAGACGGCACTCAGGTAAATATCCTCCTCCATGTCTTTTCTTTCTCCTTAGGCTCCGGATTCAGCCAGGGTGCATCGCATGGGAAGAGAGGAAGAGATGGATGAAATGTGTGTATGTGTGTGTGTGTGTGTGTGTGTGTGTGTGTGTGTGTGTGTGTGTGTGTGTGTGTGAGTGTGTGCCTGGGAAGGAGGAGAGGCGTCTGAGCTGTTTCCTCCCTGTGTGCGTGCGCGTGCGTGTGTGTGTGTGTGTGTGTCTCAGGGCGGGGGGGGGGGGGTGTAGGTGTGTAACAGATGAGAGGGAATCTTTGCCAGATTACTGGCTTGTTAGGAGATGGCACACACATGCATGGAGCCCCACATGCACACTGACACCTTTCCACTCACACATGCAGGCAGCTCTCAGCTGGGCTCGGCATCTTTGAGGATTACCCTCTATCCCCTCCAGTGCTTTGCTGGAACGACTGCAGTCCCTCAGACATCGTAGCGGAGCTTTCAAAGCCCACTGATGATGAGCAGGATTTTTGTTGTCGCAGCTCTTGTGCTGTTGTCATCCCCCCCCAAAACTCAGCTCTCTGCCATGTCTGCTGATTAGACGTGCAGACGTTGTCTTTGTTACCGTCTCGCCTTTCCAGCAGATTGTTGCCATTGTCCCGGCAATAATCCTGCATGCCAGTCCTCCTTTCACTCACAGGAGCAGAATAATGCAATCCAGCTTGATTCCTTCTCTCATTCTGGAGAATTTCATTTCTAAACGTGTACGCTGTGCAGTGAGATTTGAAATCTGGTTAGAGCACTGCATGACTCTGTATGACTGATGCATCAGTATTCTGTTTGGATGGGGCTGCATGCCTTTGCGTTAATTTATCCTCTTCTCTCCAGCTGCTGCAGCTGCAGCTGCAAACACACACGAGCTTCTGGCCTCTGTCTCAGTGGAAAAAACAGCGGTTGCAGCAGATAATCCAAAAGTTACTACAGCATGACTACAAATTGCTCCTCAACCTTCACAACACTCATATTTTTTGCATAAAGGAGCAAATGCAGATGGATTCACATTCCATTGTGAAGAATAATTTACCGGCATCAGAGCCTCTAGTTTGACCTGAATTTGTTGCTGCTGTTTCCTGTGCATTCACACTTAATGCAATGAATAAATAATTATGTTTTATTTAAAAGCCCTCATGATTTTAGGGCTCAGCAGCCTTACCTCTGTCAGTGCGCCCCAGGGCAGCTGTGGCTCATCACCATCAGGGTGTGAATGTGTGTGTGAATGGATGAATATTATACTGTAACGTAAAGCACTTTGGAGTCCTCTGACTCTGAAGGGTGCTATACAAATGTGGGTCATTTATTTTAAGCGTTTACAATTAAAATGTGACATTCTACGTCTTCACAGACACGGAATTTAACAGCTTTTCCACGTAAACTTAAAAAGCGAACAGCGTGCATGTTTTCTGAATCCTGCAGTGCCTCGTCCAGCTTACCTTACCTTATCTCTGTGCATTTGTTTGAGTTTGTTAGACTTCCACACCCACTGCTCCCTCTCCCTGCAGCCTGAGGCAGGAAGGATCAGTTCCCCTGAGGCCATGGAGGTCGACATCAGCCTGAAGAAGCGTAAAGGTGATCCTCGTGAAGAAAAAGAGCTGCAGGTGGAGCAGGAAACTGTTGAAAAGGTCAAACGGAAGCGAGGACGCCCGCCGGCTGAGAAACTGCCCCCGAATCCACCTGAACTCACCAGAACACTGAACACTCTGGTGGACATGGTCATCAACTACAAGGACGGGTGAGGGCTGCCACGCGTTTCTCGATGTGTCATGTCAGTGCTTTTAGTTTTAAAATTAACACCTAAAAGTTGAGACTCTCCCCTTTAGTTAGAGGGACAATTATCTTTTTTACGGGCTTTAAAGAAAAGTTTTTGTTGAATTTCCGAAGGTTGAACCCCCTAAACACTGACAACATTTTGGTTTTTCACCTCTGTGATGCTTCTTGCTGCTGCTGTCGTTAGTTTGATATTGGATCGTTTTACTTCTCAGCTCAACCAGGTTGTTATTAGGTTCAGCCTTTTCAGGTCATTTCTCATCTCTCGTCTAAAAGCTTTTTTGTTGCTTTAGTCATTATTCATCTACAACCAAAGTGCATTTGGTCGATTGTGAGAACAGTTCAACATTCATCTGGTTGCTTCTGTCACTCATGAATCATCAGAATTGGTGTCCATGTACATCACTTATGGGCCTAAAGTCAGTTTATTTGTATAATAAAATGTCTTTGTTCTCTTTTTTTCATGCGGTTCTTGTTCAGGTTTATCAGAATGTTCTTCTACAGGGAGTGCAGAATTATTAGGCAAATGAGTATTTTGTCCACATCATCCTCTTCATGCATGTTGTCTTACTCCAAGCTGTATAGGCTCGAAAGCCGACTACCAATTAAGCATATTAGGTGATGTGCATCTCTGTAATGAGAAGGGGTGTGGTCTAATGACATCAACACCCTATATCAGGTGTGCATAATTATTAGGCAACTTCCTTTCCTTTGGCAAAATGGGTCAAAAGAAGGACTTGACAGGCGCAGAAAAGTAAAAAATAGTGAGATATCTTGCAGAGGGATGCAGCAGTCTTAAAATTGCAAAGCTTCTGAAGCGTGATCATCGAACAATCAAGCGTTTCATTCAAAATAGTCAACAGGGTCGCAAGAAGCGTGTGGACAAACCAAGGCGCAAAATAACTGCCCATGAACTGAGAAAAGTCAAGCGTGCAGCTGCCAAGATGCCACTTGCCACCAGTTTGGCCATATTTCAGAGCTGCAACATCACTGGAGTGCCCAAAAGCACAAGGTGTGCAATACTCAGAGTCATGGCCAAGATAAGAAAGGCTGAAAGACAACCACCACTGAACAAGACACACAAGCTGAAACGTCAAGACTGGGCCAAGAAATATCTCAAGACTGATTTTCTAAGGTTTTATGGACTGATGAGATGAGAGTGAGTCTTGATGGGCCAGATGGATGGGCCCGTGGCTGGATTGGTAAAGGGCAGAGAGCTCCAGTCCCACTCAGACGCCAGCAAGGTGGAGGTGGAGTACTGGTTTGGGCTGGTATCATCAAAGCTGAGCTTGTGGGGCCTTTTCGGGTTGAGGATGGAGTCGAGCTCAACTCCCAGTCCTACTGCCAGTTTCTGGAAGACACCTTCTTCAAGCAGTGGTACAGGAAGAAGTCTGCATCCTTCAAGAAAAACATGATTTTCATGCAGGACAATGCTCCATCACACGCGTCCAAGTACTCCACAGCGTGGCTGGCAAGAAAGGGTATAAAAGCAGAAAAACTAATGACATGGCCTCCTTGTTCACCTGATCTGAATCCCATTGAGAACCTGTGGTCCATCATCAAATGTGAGATTTACAAGGAGGGAAAACGGTACACCTCTCTGAACAGTGTCTGGGAGGCTGTGGTTGCTGCTGCACGCAATGTTGATGGTGAACAGATCAAAACACTGACAGAATCCATGGATGGCAGGCTTTTGAGTGTCCTTGCAAAGAAAGGTTGCTATATTGGTCGCTGATTTGTTTTTGAATGTCAGAAATGTATATTTGTGAATGTGGAGATGTTATATTGGTTTCACTGGTAAAAATAAATAATTGAAATAGGTATATATTTGTTTTTTGTTAAGTTGCCTAATAATTGTGCACAGTAATAGTCACCTGCACACACAGATATCCCCCTAAAATAGCTAAAACTAAAAACAAAGTAAAAACTACTTCCAAAAACATTCAGCTTTGATATTAATGAGTTGTTTGGGTTCATTGAAAACATGGTTGTTGTTCAATAATAAAATTATTCCTCAAAAATACAACTTGCCTAATAATTCTGCACTCCCTGTAGATCAGTGTTCCTCAAATGACGGCCCGTGGGCCAGATCTGGCCCGCCAGACCTTCCTGCGGGCTCTAACTTTACCCAATCTGGGGACTTTGAAGTTAGCAGCAAAATTCTTGTACCAAAATAATTGTTTACATTCTCAACTGTCAGACAATTACATTTATTTTCAGTGATATGATACATTTAACTGTGACTAAAGAAGCAAATACAGAAATAGACGCCTTCTTTTTATTTTAGTGTTTTTAGCATTGCTAAATATTGTAAACGTGCTTTAACTGACTAAGAAAGAGATTGTGTAACCATTCATCACCCGCTTTCTCTAACAGAAACTCACCTGTGCTTGTTTCATCCAGCGGCACCATTGGTTCATCAACGGTTTTGTTTGGTTTTAACAGTTTTGCTTAAGCTTAAGACTTGACTCTTGAGACCAGATTGAACGTGTTGACTGGTTTTCGCGAGTCAGAAACCCAAACTGCCACACAGTTGTACTCACACTTCAGGCTTGCTCTTCTCAGTGATGCAACTTGATAAAACACACTTTTTCATTCAAATACAAACACCAGAGCAGTACGTTCACTGATAGACACAGCACATTTTTTTAATGCGAGTCCTCATTGAAGTTGATTGTAAGTTTTCAAAGCAAACAGAAACAAGTGAACTTGTCTGGAAGGATGTAGAGAAGGCTCGTTCATCAGGGAATCTAGATGGTGTGTCACAAAGCAGAGAGCAGAGTGGTGGATAGCATCCAGTTTGTGAAGGAGCACTCATGCAGATCTATAGACCATGTCACCCTAATCTAGCTTTGGGAACACTGTCATTTTTACCAAAAGCAGTTTTGCAGAGTGTGCAATGGAAGATTTGTTGTGATTAAGAAAACCAGCGCAGGATTTGACCTTTGAGACAGAACTAAGTGTTGCCAGGCACCAAGATACTCGCAGCTTTTGATGTGATATTAGAGCCATCCTACAGAACAATTTCAAAGGAAACTCAACCTGCGGTAGATTTTTATTTAACCTTCTGGAGGCAGGCGTTGCAGATTTGCAACGTTAAAACCATCGACATATATACTGGACAATTCATTCCCATAGGCTCCAATAACACGTTTTTGAGGCTAAATGGGAGGGGGTCACCACAGCCATTTTGACAGTGTCACAGGTTCCGTCAAGCCCAGACAATTCCACAAAAGGGAAGAGAGGTGGAGCTGAGGGTGGGGCTGTAAGGCTGGGGTCAACTGACGACACCCGGCCCCGCGCAGCAGACAGAAGCCGCGATCAGACAGAGATGCGCCGAGCTGTGGGGAGGGGAGAAACGGGTGGAAAACATCGGTCTCCCGAGAGCTCCACAAGCCGATAGTCGGAACCCAGCTCCACCAACATGTTATATTTCAACCCATTTTCTAAAGTGCAGCATTATGTTAAATGCACTGGGTTTACCCTATTACATTTAAATTTCATGGTTAAACAGTACATGTTAAAATCTAAACTCAGCTCGGCAGTGACCTAAAATACATAAATATAATTTTACTTACCGAAAAAAATGAAGTGGAGACTCCTTGGACGCTCTGTTAGTGCAATCAATGCCACAGCAAGTCATTTTGTCCAACAATTGCACAAATAATATCCAAAAAAGAATACACAAACACAGAGACTCAAAATGCCGGAGCAGTTTCCAAGCCAGACTGAGGCTCTGCTGAGGCCTTTCCCCGGAGCTAGCTCTGTGGTCATGTGGGTCTGATGCTCATTAATTATACAGAATTTTAGGCTTTTAATACACTTATACAGATGAGTGAGAAAAAAATTCACCCCCCTCAGAGTTGTCATGAGTGTAAACTAGATAATTTAAACAAAAAACATGTTTTGGTACCAGGCTGTAAACATGTTTATTTCTGCTGCGAAATTGGTATTTTTAACATGGGAGTCAATGAGGATTTGCTCGCTTCTGACACCAGCCCCTAGTGGATGAGGGTGGAACTGCAATTTTTGGTACTTCCGGGTTGGCCTCAATTTTTGAGCCGCATTGTGGGGGCTTGGGAAAAACCTACCTACCTGGTTACTCCACATACGTATTTCATGAGCATTTTTTAACCCAGAAGTACCCCTGAAGGTCTTGGTTGTTCGTCCTTTTATCAGAACTTGTTTTGAGCCTGAGAGGGTTAAAACCATTCATTTAGTTATTTTTTGTAACTTTTTGTAGCATCGTACTGAAGCTAACCTGCAATGAAAAGAGAACAGAAGTCAGGGATGACTGGATGTTAAATCAGCAGTATTTAAATATTCCACTGCTGTTAAGGAAATGTTGTTAATGTCAGCAATGAAAAGAGAAGTTGTGCTTCCTTGTCGAAAATGCACATACGATTCAACTCCAGATCCTGTTCCCTTTACAGGTCAGTTTCTCAACAGACAGGATGCATTCCACATCAGGAATGGAATGCAGCCCTTATTAATACTCCTGTGTATTTCAAGTCTTTCACGTCAAAATGGCTGCTGTGAAAAGTATCAGTTTAAAAACAAAACAAAGAAAGAACTCATCAGAACTTTTTTTTTACAAGGCAGGTTTTGATTCTGTTATAATTTCCTGTAAGAATCCTTTCCAGGTTGGATGAGAAGTGTTTGAAATTTGAGCAGAGAGTTTGAGTTCACATTCAGTGTAACTTTAGTTTGTGTTTGTAGAAACCTGATGATAAAAACCAAACATTGGTTCGTCACATTTCCATATTCCTCAGATTTTTATCACAACGTCAAAACGTGATGTTTGCATGTGAAAATCTGAGTCATTTTAACGTCTAATTTGATCGCACCCCGTTTGTCAATTTAGAAATGTTTTCTTGCTTTCCTTTCTTGAAATTCTACAGCCCATTTTTTCAATTCTGTGTAGTCTTTGTCAGTATAGCAATCACACTGGAATTTTGAAATCTTCCATCCATCCATCCATTATCTGTTTGCCAGTCCATCACAGGATTGAATTTTGAAATCTTATTTTATAAAATTGAAACTTGCATAACCTGGATTAGTATTCCCCTAAAATCAAATAACGTAATAAAAAGAAATAAATAAAAAAGACAATTAAAGATTCTACCGTGACTTGACTTGACATACTTCCACTTCTCAACAGGATATGATGTAAAACTCAACATTGTGCTTGCAGGTTGGGACGACAGATCAGTAAAGGTTTTGTTCAGCTTCCCTCCAAGAAGGAAGTCCCAGAGTATTACGAGCTGATCCGAAAGCCCGTGGACTTCAGGAGGATCAGGGTACGTGTCACCAAACACCCTCACGACTCACATTTAGATCTCATTAACACAACGTCAAATGTAGAGTTCCGCTTCAGCAGACATGTAAAGGCCACGTTTACAAAGAAAACGCTTTTCACTTGTTCTTTTTGAAAAATGATGCGTCACTCTGAGTTTTACATGCAGGCTAAATGTGAAAATCGTCTTCTACCGCTACTTAAAGTTAAAGTCCCATAGTCATTATCACACACTGGCGAAATTCATCTCCGCATTTGGCCCATCTCCATGGAGGGGAGTGGTGAGCTGCAGCCGTGCTCGGGAACTTTTTGGTGGTTTAACCCCCCCAATCGAACCCCTTAAAGATGAGTGTCAAGCAGTGAGACTTTGGGGGCCATTTTTAGAGTCTTTGGTATGACCCGACCAGGAATTGAACCCCGATCTCCCAGACAGTCCCAGGGCAGACACTCTACCACTAGGCCACAGCGCTGGTGTTTTGTCTGGTAGAAAATAGGCGAGGAAGCTTGGAACTGTGACATGTCAAATTAGCATTCATGGTTTGCAGCAGGGAAAGCTGTTTCTGACTAAGCATCACTCTTTTTACTTTTAAACGTGTCAATGCAGGGGCGTGTGGACCATGTTTCGCCTCCACAAGCGATTGATTCTTTGAGAGTGAGATAGTGGAGGTGTGGCGTGAGAGAGTGAGTACGTTTACATGCAGCCAATATCCGGGTTATGATCGGGTTAAGGTCGGTATTCGGGTTTCTGAGTTGATCAGAATAACCCGTTTACAAGCATAAATAGAAAGAGTTACCTCTAACTTGCATAACCCGATTTAAATGCGGACGTTGGGGTAGCGTCAGGACGTATGGACTACGTCCAGACGCAATATGCGTCATTTCCGGTTCTTCTTGTTCCGGTATCCATGAAAACAACAACATGTTTCCCAGTTCGGAAGAGACAGCGACTGCGTTTGTTTGCGCTTTCGTTTCTTCGTCACTCCAAAAGTGTGGTGCTGTGCCGCGACTGCTCCCAACTTGTTGTTTACTTCCGGTGTTCTGGCGCATACAAGACGTCTCGCTACTCAAAAGACCAAGATTCCTTGCGAACAGAGCATGCGCAGAACACACACTTTGATGGGGATATCCCGATATGCGTTTACACGACCAAACATTCGGGTTAGAAAAGGGTTACCCCAGGTGTAGTAACCGGGTTTTTGAGCATAGCCGGGGTTTTGGCGGTGTTTACATGGACCTGCGGAACCGGGTTATTGTGAATATTCGGGTTTTAAAAGGGTTACTGGCTGCATGTAAACGCACTGAGTGTGAAGAGGGTCAAATTAGTTTGTCTCATGCTCCATGCGTGACAGTTGGCAGCCGTGTCCAAGAGAGCAGAGCACATCTCAACTAGCAGAGGCTAACTGTTAGCATTAGCAACTCCTCAACATGGCAGAACTCTTTCAGGCTTGATTTTTGTGGAAATAAAACAAACAAATCCTGCCGTCTGAAGCGTAACTCGACTCTGGCTCACTTCTACTTCCTGAAACAGGCGTGCTAGTGAGACTGACCCTGAAAGCATTCATTTACAACAGGCGTTTCATACACAGAGGCAATCCAGCATGCTTTCCATTAGCAAGAATAACATTAACATTAAAATCAACATGACAGCACAATTAAATTACACGCAGTTAGATTTCAGGTTTAAGAATCAAAAAAGGGGCAAAGATAAAAGGCGAGCAGTTACAGTGCAGAAGGTGCGGTATAAAAGATTTTTTGTTCAAAGGCTGATGAATACATGAAGGTTTTGACTTTTCATTTAAGAGTTACTCGAGTTGAGGCAGATTTGAGTTTGTACGGAAGCTGATTCCATCTGTGAGCAGCATAGTAGCTAAAAGCAGCTTCACCCTGTCTGGTTCGGACCCGGGGTTCTACCAGCTGACTGTGGAAACAGAGGCCAAAGCAGACTTATTTATAAAAATAAAAGTCAATGTGACCTTTAACAGAGTAGAGAGAGATTCTTTATCCATCATTAAAGTTTGTGCTTGTTGCAACAAGAGAGAGGATGCACATTGTGTGAGCATGACTCTAAACATACAGACATGTCCTTCCGTCACGTAGATTCCTCCTTCCCCTCCAAGGAAGGGCACCAGATGAGGGGAACCCTATGCAGGCCCAACATAAAAGATGAGTCCTACGACCAAATAAGGGTTTACACCTTCTGCACTTCTTGTAGCTGCCACAGCTGATTTACAGATGAACATTTCAGTTTTTAAAGTACAACCAGCACATTATGATGTTAGTACTTTGTTAGCTTTTCTTTTTTTGATGGAATTTGCTTTATTCTTTTTTTGCTGATCCTCAGGAGCGTGTGCGTAATCACAAATACAGAAGTGTTGGGGATTTAGAAAAGGATGTCTACCTTCTCTGTCACAATGCACAGACGTATAACCTGGAAGGATCCCAGGTGAACCCTAAACAGTTTCCTTCTTGCATCCTGCACCAATCTGTTGTTGTAATCTTCAACAGCTATAAAAGCTTGAGAAAAGCCCCCGACTGTTTGTCTGAATTTGTTTGTCGACCTCTGCAGATCTACGAGGACTCAATCGTCATTAAATCTGTTTTTGAGAGCGCAAGACTGAGAATTGTCACAGACGAGGAACAGAAAGAGACCGTTAGTGCCAGTCACAGCGATAACGGAGGTGGAGCTGAAGAACGATGTGTTCCATCAGTGGGTGAGTGCAGGGGTTTCACAAAAACAAGGGACAGAAGGACAAACATTTGTTTGTCTTAAAACGCACATCTTTCGGATTGATTGCTGGTTATTTTTTACAACATCAAGCTGAAAGCCA